TTTAACCCCAGAAAACAAACTAGGATTTATGGTTCACTAACACTTGCCAAGTAACATGATAATGTTTCACAATTATAGCTATAAAACTAAAATAAGCTCTTACCCCACACTCCTTCAAAGACTGGATGCCTAAAATAAATGACCTTGATCAATCAGAAGCTGTGAATGAAAGGTAGAAATCTCCGGAGGTAAAGTTTGCTATGTAGACCTTACAAAGGAGTTGAGACCATAGGGTAATAACTTTTTTATCTTAGAAATTATAAATATAAGGTTCCTTAGTCTCTTCAGTTCAACATTTCTGTAGAGGAATAAAGTGTTAATATTAAGAAAGGTACCACTTGTTTGCCTGTTTTACAGCCTTGAGAGCATGGACTGCACACAACTTATAGATATTCACAGATTTCTAATTGAACCATCTAAAATATGATTGAATCAAGCCTATAAAACATGGAACAATCACCCCAGACTGGAATCCAAATGCACCACTGTAGTTTGCTGGTCTGATTAGCTCTGTAGTACAGGATGGAGCCTGTCCATTTTTCAAAGCTGGGCCAAAGTCTTGAACAGTTGTTTGTAGATGAGGCTTTAGGTCTCAATAGTTCCTACAATTACTGCTGAATCTGGCCTTGGCTCAGGAATAAACTCGTTGTATCGAAAAGATTTACTACCCTAACTATATCTGTATCTCAATTTAATGAAAATGTTAAGGATAATTTGATGGTCTCTTGCCAGTGTAATTTTAAATAAAATGTCTTCATTCCTTGGCAGTGTCTGTTGGCACTCTGGTTTAACTAAAGGAAGTGCTTAAGTGAAGTGCTTTTTACATTACAGTCTTGACAGTATCTTCTCTGATAGAACAGATTAAATTTTCAGTGTTTTACCCAGAGTAAATAAATTTAACAAAAAAATAAATCACCTCCCACTGTAAGTCCATATGATAGCAAACCTTACTGAAGCATTACTAGAAATCACATACTGGCCTATCACAGCATTTGGACTAATCTCAAGCCTCATCTCCTGTAAATTAAAGTATTTCTAACTTATTTGCTGTTCATTTATTATGCACTTCTGTAAAAATGTTTCTGCATCTTGGGAAGTAATGTAGCACATAATAAGATGTTGCCAGTGCATCTTAGATTTTCATCTGAGTTCAGCAAGTCAGCATAAAAGTTTAGGACACTTTATTATAATTGCATAGGGAATGGAAAGTAATGGTAAGATGGTGACAATTTGGCCATCATTCCTTACAGAACTGAGCAATTGCCAAATATCCTCTTGATTGCTTACCCTGTCTAAATCAGGTATATAAGCACAGAATGGGGCCAGAAGGACAATACATCAGAAGTTAAATTGTTTGGGGATTAGTCTGAGAATAAAAAAGCCTGTAGATACAAAATGGTGCTCATTCAAAGGGTAAACCAGCATCTATAGTATTTATTTTCTTTTTAAAATTTAAATGCCATTGATTTAGTACATAGGAAGAGTGTGTACAAAAACTGTAAGATCTTGACAGAGGCAGATTGTGCTGCTACTTACATTATGGCACCAGTAGCTCCATAATTTTAAAAGTTCTTAGGTTACCTCAGTAATGTTATCCTTACCACCTAGCACAATATAAATGTGAGATCTTCATCACTGTTGGGAAGGAATTATTTTCTCTTATTATCACTGCCCAACAAATCTGCATTCCTGGTTTTCTTCTGCTCAATACCAAGGTGCCAACAAGCTACATTTAGATGGCTTTGCACCGAGTCACTCATAGTGAAAAAACAAAATTAAGACTTTGCTTAGTTATGTACCGCAATTCTTTTCCTGTCCTTCAGTACTAAGATGAAGGCCCAGGAGACAATCTATTGGTAAGTTTCTCTGTAATGGGGATTGACTCACATTTCACCCATGTTTCTGAGAAATGTGACTATGCTGCTGTTTTAATTTCGATAGTGTGCATTTACAAGAATATGAAGGTATATGCACACTCTTGAAAAACTCGATTGTGGATAGTGAAGGAAATGTTCCGTAGTGACATCTTTTTAAAAGACTGCATCTAATGAACAACTAGACTTCTGCACTCCAGCTGTAGCTAGAAGCAAAGTGTACATATGCCTGTGGCGGGAAAAAGGAACAATCAAAAGGCAGAGAACTATGGTGAGGAGAATGCGAGAATGCGAAAAATTTTGTGGAACGTGTAATAAGAAGATGAGAAAGATGGGAGACTATGTGTGGAGCTAACCCATTGCAGCAGGTAAGGCCGGTGGGTGTTTACATGCATATAAAATCAATATTCATAGATCCTTGAGTATATGTTTGTCGGGGCCATGAATGCACTGACAGGACTTAAATCACCTTGAATAGCTTCACCTGGGACCCCTGCTCGAGCACTGCTCATTGGTTCATCTGAACTCAGGCATACCTGTCTCTAGCCTTGCCTCCTGGATTAACCTGAGACCTACATCATGGCACTGTCTTCTGCTCATGGCTGGGCTCTCTGGACTCATTCCTTCACCCTGCCTGGGGCTGTTGGTGGACCCTCTAACTGCTGCTGAGCTCTGCCCACTATGTTTGGATCCTGTGGGATAACATCCTGACCCGGGAGGGTATGGCCTACACTGGGATCACACACAGCATCCATTCCTCTTCCTTCATGGATCAGCCCTGATCTTGCTGCTTCCTGAGACTATTAAACCAGCTCCCACTCTGACCTTTTGACTGACACTGAGTTTCCTGAATTTTGTATTTTTTTGCCACTGTGATGATAAATACACGTTTTGTGCTAAAAAATAAATATAAAAATAAAACACATTTACAGCTTCTTTTATGCTTACATAAATTCACTGTACCCAAGATACAAACACACAGTTTATTCTGTTACATAAGTTTTCATTTAATAATATTACATGTAGAGTGGGCTCTAGGGGCACATGTAAATCATGAAGACTTCTCAGGCAAAAGAGTCACCAGTTGGGCCCCTATCACTTACCAGCTACTTCTTCAGAAGGTAACAGCCAGATAACACAGAGTATCTATGTCCTTCTGACACTGGAGCTGGAACCAGTCAAACGTGTATCGGTCCAAAACCTGCTTCACAGAAACTCTGCTCTCTGCAGTTTCATGTTTCTTTGGCTTCTTATGTGAGGAGGGATTGTACCCGATTGGCTTCGATACTGATAGAAATTTGGCACAAACTCATGAGCTGACAGGTTGCTTCTGTTCTAGTGAAAATCAATTAATTAATTGCTAGGGAGACCTAGACTTGTGCTTTTCTGTATGAGACAAAGTTTATCAAGGCTTAGGTCTATTTGAAAAAAACACTGTTGTGCTTGGGAAAAACCTTGTCACTCCCATATAAAACAGTGTGATATTACATCAGCAATGCAATGCGTTGAAACTACAAACAAACATTTGATGTGCCATTTCACAATGCTTTAAACCTCAACTGCATTTGTAAACAGTATTTATAGGAGGCCAGGTTTGCTTACACAGGAACTATATTATCTTGGGAAACGCAAGGCTTGCCAAGCACTTGTTCCCTTATGAAAAGTCTGCAACTTTAAAATTTAGACTCTTCTGAGAGTCTAAAAATCTCAGGAAATATTTCATTCATCAGTCAGCTTGGTGATAGTTAAATGGCATTGTGCTCTCCGTATGAACAGCTGTGGAGCATATACATCCTCTCCTGACACCGATCCTTGCCATTTGTTTGTTGTGATACACCGATGTGAGAATTCACAAGTTAGGGCTCAATTAAATTTCCACTGAAGGAAGCTGGATATTTAGCACTTCTTAGCTGAAGACTGAGTAATTGCTTTCTGTTATTGCTGTTGTCCGTATCACCTATGTATCTGGATGGATGCAATCACAGCACTGAAAAATGGCCAACAGGCTATGAATATAAAATAGGTGTAGTTTCACCATTCAGGTCTGTTGCTTTGACGTTACAACCTTCTCCCCTCTGCATTTTTCATTGACTGTTGAGGCCCTGATCCCGGGCAAGAGCACACTTGTATCAGGAACCTTTTCATGAGGATTGTTACACCTGTGTAAGCCCAAGGGCCTGTACTTGGGTGTTGAGTGTTTGGTCTTCACACTGGTCATGAAGTCTGCAATAGGGCAACGTTGATCATACTCTTATCTGACCAGGGCAAATGTATATTTTTATATATATAATGTATATATGAATGAAACGTGCGTTATCGCAGCCCACTGCCACGAAGGCATGCAGCCCTGTGCCAGGGCCAAACGGGACCTTCAGCTCAGACCCTTTCCTCCCTGCCGCCGGGCTGTGGCAGCAGCTGTACAACGGTTCCAAATCCGCCTTCAAATGCTCCTGCACAGAATCAGCTAGGTTGGAAAAGACCTTTAAGATTGTCAGGTCCAACCATTACCCCAGGACTGCCAAGACCACCACTGAAGAATACCTCCACAAAGCTCGTATTTAAAATGGGAACAAGCTTCGGATGAAACCACCGTAGCTGGGACAAACCGGGTGCTGCTCAGGGATGTGCTGGAGCCGGCTCCAGCGGGCCGGGGAACACAAGCCAGTCGTTATACTCGGGTAGTGAAGAGGGCCCGCTGGGGCTGACAGGCCGCGACCCGCTGCCGCTCGCCTGAGGCCGCCGCAGACCGAAGCGCTTCCTCGCAGAGGCCGAGGAGCGGCGAGCACGGGAGGAGCGGCGCGCGCGGGAGGCGCGGCCCCGGCAGTTGCGGGCGGTGCTCGCGCCGCCGCGCCCGGCCCTCGGGAGCGCGCCCGGTAGGCTGCGGGTGGCGGCCATCTTATCTCCGTAGCCGGCTGCTCCCCCAGTGCAAGTGAATCAGCACCGCCAGCCCCCTCCTCCGCTCCCTCCCTCTTCTTCCTCCTCCTCCCTCCCACTAAACTCAGCCGTCGCCGTCGGTCAGAAAGGGGGTGACCGGGAAAGCGAAGGCCGCGGCGAGGGGGTAGGGAGGGGAAGCCGGGCCGCCGTGAGGCGAGCAGCTCCACGGGGGCGGGCGGTGGGGGCGGCGCGGGGCTCGCCTCGCCTCGCCGGCGGGCGGGCCGCGGGGTGCCAGCCGGGGGGGAGTTCTTGCCGCCCCGGGGCCGGCCGCTCCGCTGTCCCTGCCAGCGGGCCCGCGCCCCCTCGGCGGGGTCAGCTCGGGGGGCCGGACCCCACTCTAGATGGGATAAGCTGTAAACATGTTTAGCTTTGAAGGGGATTTCAAAACAAGGCCCAAGGTGTCTCTCGGAGGAGCGAGTAGGAAGGTAAGAATCGGTGCCTGTCTCCGTGTTTGTGTCTCTGTCGGTTTCCCTCGCCCCAAGCCTGCATTGCCTTCATGTATTTATCGTTATTTTTACCGTTGGGCCTTCAAAAATGGGAGCAGCTATGACTAAGGTTTAATAGAGGGGGGAAGAAATCTTCCCCTCCTGATGATATGTTTATCGCTGATCGCCCTGGCTCTTTGTTGTTATTTTTTTCAATTTTTATATATATATATTTAATCAGGCCACACACACCCTAGTCTTATAGTGTAGTAAGAATTGTGGGAAGCGAGGAAATGTCTCCTTCGCTTGTCCTCCTTGCGAGGAGTCTGGTTTGTTGTGGCTGGTGGCACCTCCTGAGCCCTTCGTTTCTAGGGCTCCCGGGGTGAAGGAGGGAAGGACTTGGACACCTCCAGTCATTTATCTCAAGAGGGGAAGTTCCTGCAAGGATCCGCCTCGCTGGAGGGATGGCGGGGACCAGCCTTACACAACTCGGGATCAAAGCAAATTGTTGGGGGAGGCTTCATCCACGTGAGTGAGGGTGGCCGGGTGCCAGGTTTAGCCTTTCTCTGTCAAGTTTACGTTCAGTCAATTAGTCGTGTGCAGTGAGCAGCAGTTAATTGTATGCTGTACCCAGACTACTGAATCTCCTTGTATTTATCGGTAGAAGAGAAGCGGAATGGTCTATTTAGATCTTGCTGATTGGACGGGGTAGTCAGATGTTTAATCTATGCACTGAAGGTCATAGAGCTGCTGAAGAACAAGGGTAAGGACAGTGTTTTTAGAAGTGGCCTAATTTATAAGGGTCACTTTATTTCACTATATAAAATACTGATTCCCCATGTTATTGGATGTGACTGCATGGGAGACTAATAAGTGTTTTCATTGGTATTTTAAAATCTTAATGGAGTAAAAATAACTCTGAAATTTTTGTTACTGTGCGCTGTAAGCAACTTGGGTTCTGTAAAACTTCTGCGGTTTGGCAGTACAGTTAGGAAAAGAGCTAAAATACTGCACCTTGTGATATTAAAATCACAGCAAAGTTTGCATTTTGGTGTGTTATCTTACGTAATTTATTAAAGATAATGTGTAATAGAACTGCATTTAAATTTGGCAGCTTTTCATCTGAATCATTTTCTGTTTAAGACATTTTTGTGCATTAGGCTACATACCAGGGGCATGACATGAGGCGAAAATACCATAAATATGCCCCAGCTGAAATTGGCAGGACAGGCGCTTGTCCTCAGCTGAGCACTTCATGTACTTCGCAGCTTTTGACACTGACTTGCAAATAGTGTTTCGTGCAAAACTTGCTTCCTTCTACAGAAGTAAACAGCTGTTGTCATCTTCTTTTACCCCTACTGATCTCTCAATGAATATTGATTAGAATTTTATCTATTTTAATTATATTGGGCAAATTTATTAGTGTTATACAGGTATAAATAGTCAAGGGCACATACTACAAGCTAAAGGAAGTGAAAACTGAAATTGATGTACGACCTTCACTGTGCCCAGTCCAGAGGTTGTGTTTCATGATCAGGTTGGTACTGACTAGCCCACAGATTTCATGATTTTACACTGGTACACTGAAGTGCTTGTGCTGCATCAGTGCACATCAGTTCGTTGCACCTTCGGTTATATGGACATTATAGAATGCCATCAGAATAGAAGCTTGTTTCCAAAAACTATGTACAGTAGTAATGAAAGAATTTATATAAACAGTACTAAGAATTACTTCTAAAAATGCAGTTTATGTGAACTTTATGTAAACATACTACAGCAGAGATTGGTGTGGCAAGTGTGTATATGGGTTCCATGAGTTTCTCGTTATTTCATGTCACAGGCTTCTTGTGATCACGTTTCTCATGCCTATAGGCTTCGGTTTTACAGAAGGCTGACTTTTAAAATGTTTCAGCTTTTTGTGCACACGGAAAAAATATTTCTCTGACAAACCCTCTTGTCCTCCCAAATGTGTGTAATTTTAGAAAGATGCAGCATATATTTCTAATTCTGCATCTCTGCGATGCTCAGTTAGCTGGATGCTTAGCGCTGCCCATTTTAATTTTTGGGGGGGGAATAAAGCACAACTGATAAATATTTGTAGAATCTGTATGCGGGCTGCTTAATGCTAAGAATTACTCTACCCAGTTTGGGGGAGTTGCTCAAATGCTGTTGCACCTGTGTAGCCACATTAGTGAAACTCTTCCAGTACAAAAGCAGGGACTCCAGTGCTAAAGATGCAGAGTCTTCTTGATGTGGATGCAACAACACCAAAGTAAATGATCAGCAAATCTGACTATTAAAAGCATGGATTTTGCTAATATAACTGCAGCTGCAGCCGGTAACTGGTGTTGGTCATGGGTCACACATGTTGATACCCTGTCTGACATGGCTGTTTATGTCTGTAGTGTTTTCATAGGCCTCAGGAGGGGCTGACCTCAGCAACTGCTATGGGTATAGGCACAATGAGAGAAATATAGTTGGGGACTTACGGCATTGTGGCAGTTAGAAAGGTACTGAATCTAGTGTGCTTTCTCAGCACTAACTTTTATGACATTTTTGAATAATAAAAGCAGAGAGCTTCTGGTTTGTTTTTACACTGTTTGCATCTTATGTTCACATGCGTTACAGTGGTCTGAACTGCACACGCTGTAAAGAGGCACTTCAATCCATGACACCTTTTTGCCAAAGCAGTAGTCTTTAAGTATCACTTATTTTTGTTAAAATCCCAGATTACAGAATTAAAGTTCTCAAAATGACCATCACAGTGACTGATTCTTTCAGAATATTATTGTTATATTTTAATATTGCATTGTACATAAATGTTAAAATAGAGACAGTATTGTCAGTGTTTGGAATGTTTCCTCCATATCAACTTTCCAAAATCTGCTGATTCATTTGGACTATTTGCATAGTTGTCTGTGTGTTTGAGGTGTAGATACTGTGTTTTGTTTATTTATTTATAATTTTTTAATTTTTGTGGTTGCTTGTCACCTTTAAAACATGAGTCCATGCTTTATAAGGCTATTCAAAAGATATTTTCAGATTTAGTTTTAATTACAACTGGCAAAACTTTTTTTTTTTTTTACTTCTGAAGTAAAATAGCCTTCAAAAATGAGTACTATTATTGGAGTTCAGTATCTGAACATCTTGAATGAGTCATGGATTTGTTGTGTAGGACAAGAACTGTTGCTAAAAGGCTGCAGCTGCAAAATTTCTGTTGTGTGTCAGGAAGGAGAACAGAGAGTTATTCTGGGGGGGCAGTTCACATGGGGCTAACCCAACCTAACTGCAGTGGACAGAAACAGATGGTCCTTCACCTGGGTGGTTCCCGCTCCATCCGTTGTATACCTTGTAGTGAGCATACTTCTTGAAGGTAGCATGTCACCATGCCTTTTGGTGGCAGCTGGCAGGTTTCACCAATTTTATCATGAAGTTGGATTCTCAGTGGGATAGTGCAGAATCTGTTTAACTATGTCAACTTTATTTAGTACAGTCTGGCCTAGTGTTCCTTCACTAATTTTATCAGAGTCAAGAAAAATATGAGGTATCAGTCCCTTAGTACATCCATTCAGGGGATCCCTGTGCCTGTGCTGAGATGTACAAGGGGCTCTGCAGGTCTGCATGGTTTGTTTAGGTTATGAAATGTATTAATGATGTTTTGTAAGCCTTTAACCAGGAAAAATGGTTAAAAGAATATTATTAAGTCAAATGTACAATATCACTTGAGATATCTAAACTGTGCTTTTATAAATCCCAGGAGTATTTAAAATAGAGTATTCTTAGAGAATTTGTGATATAGATGGGTTAGTACTGTCATGACAGTGAAAGTGAAACCAACTAAACTGAATTTCCCCTTAGTTTTTGGTTTGGTTTTTTTTTTGTGGAAAATGTGGGAAATTTCTGATGAAGAAATAGTGATGACTCCATCTCTATTTTAAAAAGTCTCTAATTTCTTTTAACATGGACATTTTTAATAAATATATTCAATTTACAAAGTTTGTTTGCATTTTATTTTAGTAGTTACTGATACACTTTCTTAAATTAATAGTATAACATTAAGCATTAAATTCCTTATATTCTCCCCCTGCCCTGCTCTCAACTCTAAAAGTGCCTTGTTTGGTCTGTGTTGTCTATATTCTATGCATTAAGTAACTTCTCAAGGAAAAAAAATTAATGATACAAAAGCAATAGTCTCTAAGATTGCTAGTGCATAAAGAGGTCTGCACAGGCTGGGATTGTTTATAGTGATAGATTGTCTCTCTCTTGCTGATTGAGGAAAGTTGTTACTAACTTCAGGAAGAAACTACTCTTTTATTCTATCTTACTTAAACCTATACCAGGTCACCACTGGAAAGGAAATGATGCTAGGGATATATAGCACAGGTTTTCTAGATTACAGTTACAAATTTACAATTTATTTTTGAATGGTGGGAAAGAATTGTACTGCTTTGCTCTGAAAGACCTTTGCCCTATAGGCAAATGGTGTAGATCCTTATGCGAGTACATACCTCATTCTGAGTCAGAACTGTGTTTTGTCCAGATACTGAAATGTCAAAGCTTAAGTCTTGAAGTATTCTTTGAATTTCATATCTGTGGTGTAGAGACCACCAAGTTGTAAAATAACGATGGTATGTCAGTAGGAAGCTAAGTTAATGTGTACTAAAGTCTTTTGGACTTTTTTCACTCTCAGTGACATTTAAAATTCTCATTTCAAAGGAAGCTATGAATGATGGAGTTATAGTTAGCTGGCAGCAATGATTACACTATTATTTTGTGATGTGTGGTTTCCTCAAACTCAGAACAAATTATTCTGCTTTTATAGATATGGCTTTTCCTTGCTTGATTTTGAGAAAGTGAAAAGTTAGTCAACTAGAATGAGGCATACAATATACATCTTAAAAATCATAGTAGAGACAAATGGAGTGAAACTACACCAACTTGTTTGCATTTCATCTGGACTCTAGAGCCTCCAGTCAAGTCCTGGTTCCACTGTGCATGGCTTTGTAGCTCCTGTGATTAAAGTGGTTTCAGATGCTCCCTGCATCCTAGAGTAAAATTTGAGCTAACATGCTGAGATGTTTTCTAGCAGGCACTGTGACGTTGATTTTAGTGAGGTCAAGGCTTTCCCTGGCCAAGTACCTCTTCCTGGGCATATTTTAAGTACTTTAAAATACTTTCTGGAAGAAGAATATAAACTCAATTATGATATAAATTATCAGTGATATGAAGACTGGCAAACTGTTTTAAAGCAGAGCTTTTCAAGCTGCTGCACATGTTTTACTCAGGCTGGCTGAGCTGTGTGTCCACTGGAGTTTAAATTGTTGAGGTCCAGTTCAAGACATTGTTCTTAAAATGCTGATTTCTTTTAATATTCAGAAAAGAAAAAGAAAAAAGTGGCATTTATCATGCCTAAAAGAATTCTGGGAACTAGGGAACACTGTTGAGAACCACTTTGGAGGGGTTGTCTCCTGTTGTCTACCTTTGTTCCTTAGAAGTAAATGCTACAAAATCTTCCTTTTATTTGTTGAACTTACATTAAAAGGCATTAATTATTTTAATTGCTTAGGTCACTTCATGTGCTTTGGTAGCTGTTTCTGATTTTTATGTGGTTCAAACTAAATTCAGATGAAAAGTCATGTTCCTCATTTTTAAGGAAAGAAGAAAGATGCAAGTTCTTGGGTTTTGTAGATGAAAACCATATAAGATTATATGCTTGTCCCCCAAAATTAAAAGATTAAGTGCTTATTTGTTTTTCTTTGAAAATTTCCTGAAAGTCATGCCTTGTACTTTGCATGTTGTATTGTAATGATAAATAGAAAGCATTCCCAACTACAGAAAAAAAAATACACCTTTGTGGCTTTTTGAAAGAGTCAACAAATATTAGAAGTATTTGAAAAAAGATAATTATTTATACATTTCTTTTCCTGAACCTGACTTTTAGGCCAGGAGGGCTGAAAATGTTTTCTCGCTCTTGATGCAAAAGGTTAAAATGTGAGAAGACTCATCATTTGTGTATATATATAATTTGTTATTCAATCTTTGCCTAGGATATATAAAGGCTAGGAGTTGTGTAGACATGCTTTTGTAACAGAAGAGTGTATTTCAGCAAAATGAGGGCAAGAAAGCAGTTTAATTTATCTTTTTCTTATGTATTTAATTAGAGTCTTTTGAGCTTTGACATTGTTACACTGTGAGATGCAGCTGTTCTCATCAACTGGTCTGTTACAGCAGTGATGTGACTTTGAGCTTTGCTGTGGTGAATCATATGGTACATAGCAGTTTTAGCCTGATGCACAAATTAACATTTCAAATATTACTTAATGTTTCTTTGATAGTAGTCACAAGCTTTCCTTTCTGTATACTGTCCTCCATCTGCTTCCTTGTTTTCACCTCTTTCTCCTTCTGTCTTATTCTTTGAGTCACCATCCATAATGTCTCATTGTGTTTTGTTGTCACATACCGTTTGCTGTCTTGCTTCTTTGTGTCATGACTCACATATTTGGAGAAGAAAACTTCTCAAATTGGGCTTTTCATGGTCCTGTGGCTTGCATGCTAGAACTTGAGGTTGGTTATCTTTGCCAGTATCTTCTGGTGGAGGAAGAAGCAAACAGGAAAAGGACTGCTAGTAATATACTAAACATAGCACAAAACACGCAGATAGCATATTCACTGTTTTGCATTTTGGAGGTCGAGCTCCTGAAGAAAGAAGACTATATTATAGAAGTGTCAGGAATTTATAGAATCATAGAATAGAATAGAATTTGACTCAGTAAATGGTTTTTCACTCCTTTGAGTTAGGATTGAAGGAATCAAGACAAGCTGGTGCTTCATTCCATTTAAAATACCTGCCTGGCTGCCTTGATAAGTAGACTTGATACCTGATGTCTGCCTGTTCCGCAGGTGAAGAGAGAAGACAGCATGACTGTTGCACAAGTGAGGCAAGGCTGATGCGAGTAGGAATGAGATAGGTGTGATCTTCAGGAGTTACTATCAGATTAACTCATACTGTGAGTAGCTCTGTCTGTAGGTAGGCAGGAAGGGGTGGTGGAATAGCAGCTGTAGCTGTCAGCAGTCATGTGACCATACAGATGTGAGTTGTCAAATGTACATCTATAATGCTGTTGATATTCACGACCAGCCAAAGAGCAACAGCTGCTGAGTTTAGCTTTTTGTCATTGTGCTGTTTATTAAGAGGCAAGGCTGGGAGGAGTTCAGAGATGATTGTGCAGTTAGCTGTCTTTCAAAAATAATTTTGTTAGGGTGCTTTGTAGGTGAAGGAAGATTATTTCATAGCTCTTTTTATCTCTTTCCCACAGCAGGTTTGTTTTCTGTTGCATATCTGCTGTTACTTTTTAATTTCTGAAGAGACTGTATATTTTCATTGGGTTAAATAACTCTGAAGGAGATATATTTTTCTTGCATTCAGTTTAAATATATTTGTTAGCCATAGTCTTTATTCCACTCCTTTGTGTTTCTGGCCTGTCTGTGTCTTGTGAACAAGAATAGTATTATTCGACTGATCATGTTTTTTTAAGTGTGGGATATACTTACCTAAATATTTTATTCTTTAAGACAGTTCCTCTGTCGTATCTAATTTATACTTTAAATAGTTGGTGTTTTTCTTTACAAATACTCAAAGCAAGTATGTGACATTGGCTAAAAAAAATCAAACGTTAAGTTTTTAAAAGTGGATTGGTTTAAAGAGTGCTTGCTTCAAAGAGGCCCAATTTCCAATCAATGCAAAGCTGGTGATACACTAACTGAGGATACGCTGCCCTCTCCCTTCCTCTCCATATACTTAAAATTACTTGTTTCTGATAAGCCTTCTGGCTGCTTGTTTTCCTTTATCTACTAATTCCTTGCATTTAATGTTTGCATTTTTTTGTACCATTCTCCATGCATATGTAGTAATTTGTCTTCCCTTTTATGCACGTTATTTTGCTTTTTCTTTCAATGTACTCTGAAGTGTAATGACAAATTCAGCAGCTTTGCTTCTAAGCAGAAAAGCTGTTTGCATGGTGCTAGCTGCACAATGAAACTCTCCAAGCACATTGAAGAGATGTCACTGATCACGTCTAAATAGGAGCCTCTTGTTAGCTTCTTTAATACATTGGGTATCAGTTGTTGAAAAAGAAGTGAAGTCCTGAAATTTCAAGCTGTCTGTTGGTTATTTCTTAATTTAGTACATTATTTTGACTTTTTGTGTGTAAGGTTGGAACCTCTTGTCCCATGTTACCAAGCAGACCTGGAGCCATTCCTGTTGCTGGGGTGGAGATACACAGTCTTATGTATGGATTTTGTAATGATTTGTTTATACTGTGGGAAAACCCCTCTCTTTAGAGGGCAATAGATGTAGTTAGTGGTGTCTTTGGCCATAAATACTGTCTTTAGAGGAAAAGATGGTTAACCTTCTTGTGGGATTTTTCTTTATGCTTGCTGCAGTAAATGACCTAAATTGCAAACCAAACTTTAAATTCCGTTCTTGCATCTATGCTTTTGTGGGTGTTTTTTTGTTTTTGGTTAGGTTTTTTTTTTAATTCTCCATTGGTGGTCTGTGTTAAATTATTTTCTATCCTAAAGAATCATTGCCTTGCTTTTTCTATCATACCCCCCCAAAAGCAGAAGAGTTCTGGCTCATGTTTTTGTATCGTCATACAGACTTTGAAAATATTCCAGCACAGTTGTTTTAGATGTGGTTAAATATTTTATAAACATGTGTTTGCTAGCTTCAAATCTATTTTTATGTGTTCAGATTAATTTTCAGCTTGAGTGTGATTGTTTTTTCTTCTCTAGAATAAAAAAGGCATATGGAGAAAAAGGAAGTTGTAATTTGTATCAGAGACAAAAAAGGAAAATAGTTTCCTTAAGCTATTGTCTATTTTAGACTTGATTTGGAAAGGTGCCAGGGTACTTTCAGCTCTTATTGTCTGGAGTAGGAGCTGAATACTGTGCATGAGAAAGGAATAATTTTCTATATTTCATTGGAAAACCATCCAGTAAGAGGTTCCTGCAAATAAAACTTTGTTTATATTTTGTAATCTATGTGTACTGATTTAAGATTGTGTTTTAAAAACTGATGCACAGATTTTCTGTTGCAATGGTGGTGTTCTTTAGAGGTCTCTTGAATATTTTAGTATTCTTTACTTTTTCTCTGTTGGATAGGTCACTGTCCTGAGAGTTTGTTTGTAGCCTTAGTTCGGGTGAAGAGCTCAAAATTTTAAAATAAACAGTTCCTACCATTTATGTTATACAAGTCTGTTTTGACATCTTTTCCAGATAAGTTTTGAGGAAAAAGGTAAGTAAATGCAAGAACGCATTAAGCTCTTATAGGTTAGACAAAAAACATGGGATTTTGGACCAGTATGTGGTACCTTTGAATGTACCACAACTTGCTGTATGCACCTGGGCCAATGACTTACATACACTCCAAGCAAGGAAAACACTCAGTAAACATTTGGTACTACCTGGTAGGATTTGGATTTTATTATATTTGAGCTCCCCCATTTGTGCATGGATGATGTTTGCCTACATTATTGGGATGCTGAGAACACAAACCTGGGAAAGGATCAGTACAGTTTGCTGCACTTTGTCTTTTTCCTTTTTACATAGCTTCCCTCTGTCACTGCTTTTGAGAGTGCTGTTAATGTACCTGTAAGTGCGGAAAGCAGTTAACACTTTTCTCCAGTGTTTTATGTACTGAGGACAATTCCCAAAGTAAAGTCTAGATTAAATATAATGAACGCGTTTGAATGAAAATGCAATAGTACCTTTGTTTGTGTCTTACAGGAAGAAAAGGCTTCTCTCCTGCATCGTACTCAGGAAGAAAGGAGAAAACGAGAGGTAAAGTAGACTGTAAGCATTTGCATGCACACTGGATTTTTCTTTGATGTAGTAACATTTGCAGTCCAAAGTACTTCCGCTGCAGTCGTACAAAATTGAGTAGTATGGAATTTAAGTGAATATGTTAATTTTGTAGTTTTTTTTTTCCCCCTCTGAAAAAAAATGTTGGTATTCAAAATTATTTAAAATGTGTAACCATGTAGGTTTCATGCTAATCGGAAAAACAGCTGTTTGGCCCTTAAAGGTGTGCTTGACCCATGCAGGTTCTGCAGTGGCTCCTCTGTTTCTGAGGACAGTTACTGCTTTTTGTTCTTTCCAGCCTGGCTGTATGAATATGGACCAAGTTTAAGAGTGAAGGATTTAACTAGTTAGTTCAGAACGATGTTATGAATGAGATCTATGATCATTGTGTACTTAACCAGCATACCAACAGACTTTTTTGCGCTTCAAAAACTTTTTGCCACGTATCACCATACATTGCCATTCAGTTGCTTAATTCTGTCTGCTGCAAAGCTGGTGCAGAGTCATATACTTGTATCTGTGTATGTACAGACACACAACAAGTCTGTATGGCATACATTAGTTTCTCACAAAATGAATGACTCTTGAGAATAAAAACAGCTATGGCTTTTCAAACAATGCCTGCAGCAGAATCTTAGCCGTGACCTCAGACTTAAAACCTTTGCAATTATGGGTCACTAACTGATAATTGTGTATTTTAAGATAAAACCTGTACCTAGGGAAAAGGAGAACATACCTACTTTTTAGTTAAGCGTTACATTATGATTATAAAGAGAGTGCCTCTCTGTAATTGAAGCTCTCTCCTCCTTGCCTCCATATTTTACACTTTTATTGCTAGATACTTTGAAGAGAAAAACATTCTTTGGCCTATCAAAATTTTTATGTTGGTCCATGCTTTAGTGGTAATTAGAATCTTTTAAGTATATGCTTATTCAGATAAATTGCTTTAGGAACCAGGATTTCCAAGAAAAATAAAATAGGCATTGGATAACAATTTCATCTGGTGTTTCGCTGGTCAGTTCAGGTTAAGTTCTTAAGTTGAATATGTCTTTCTGGGCCAATAAATTAGAAATCAAGGTTTTGCCCGCTGAAAGTTCATATGAAGTGTATTTTAACAAATGTATTTCCCAAATGTATTTTAACAAAACTTACAAAAATATTTTGATGTTTTATTTTACTTGGTGGCCCTCAGAATTACGAGCCTCTTATAGTTTGAGCATTGATTAGGTTAAAATTTCTCTTACCAAAAAGCAGGCTTCTCTGTTTTTGACTTTCTATCTTTGTAGTTTCTTTGTAGCTCTAGGTTCCCAAGCAACTATTTCATTTACTTCCCTCTTTCATCCCATAAGAAACTATATGGACTTTTATTAGAAATGTAATTACAGCAGCTGCTTCCCTTAGATATTAATTGTGATGGATATGCTGGAGTGTTGTCAGGGGACTTACTGAAATGCTCTTTCCATAGTACCTTAGAGAAGCTGGCTTTCAGCTCCTCAGAAAGGGATGATTTTAACTCCTCTTTCTAGCTGCTGAGGACAACATCATAAAAAGATTCACTTTATATTTCTGGTTTGAAGAAGAGACCAAGAAATTTTTTTTTTTTCCTTGGGTGTTGTTGGTTTGTTTCGTGTCCCCTCCCCCCCATATTTAAACTGCACCAGCTTCATAATACTGATATTTATATATATATATGTATATATATATGTATATTTATATATATGCTTACTATACAAGTAAGCAGGTCTTAAATATTAGCTGATGCATGCATGAAAGAAGAATGTTGACAGTTTGGTGAATTCTTCAACATTTTAGTATTAAGACTTTGTCTAATAAAACACAAACGTGTTTATTTTGTAGTATTACGTACTAAAAATTTTTTCAATATCTTAACGGTAAATTTACATTTATAACCAAAAGTTTTCTCCCTGATTTATGTGTGTTGGATGCAAACCTTAAAAGTCATTACCTTACTAATGATTAGTGCTTAATTTCATTAAAGAATCCTTTTGAATACAAATGTATTTGAAAAAAACTGTAAAAATTGAAATCAGCTCAACAATATTGATTTCAGTTTTCTTGCTTTGCTTCACAGGAAGAAAGGCGAAGGCTGAAAAATGCAATAATAATCCAGTCATTTGTAAGAGGGTACAGAGACAGAAAACATCAGGTAAGTACTTACTTACTTAGAAACATAGAACAATTTTGCTGAAAGTGGGACTTCCTAGTAATAAATAACTCCATTCAACAGTCTTCACCTTTTTGATTACTGTGTGTGCCAACAAACTGGAAGTTCTTTTTTCCCTCTTGACATTTTCATTTGAGCTTTAGTGTTTTAGCAGTTGGGCGTTGATTCCACAAAGCATGGATGTGACAGTGGACTTGAGTGGGGTTATGCAGTGTTTTTTTGAGCTGACAAAGCAAATGAAAACAGTTGGGTATTAGCAGCTTTTACACACCAGTGGAGCTTTTGCCCCCAAAATGTGGCTAAAGTGGTAGTTTTGAGTGAAAAATACATCTTTCTAAGCTGCTGTTGGGTAGATTGTTCTAATAAAGAGTTGTATCTGCTTAAATTTGCTCGTGTTTGTTGAGTAAGCTAGATGAAAATGTTTGATGTGATATTCTTTACTTGAAAGGCAACAGATTTGTTGCAGTGTATATTTTCTGAATTACAGAAAGCAATTCTGGCTTTATGATACTGTGTGTATGTTTTGATCACTTAACAAATGTGTGCTGTATCTGTTTTATTACTTCGCAACCTCTTTGGACAGGAACCTGAAATGAAGTTTTTAAAATTTGCATCTGTATTTTAAATCATAACCATTACTGATATATTGATGCATGCCTTATTTTTAAGTACTCTATCCAAAGAAGTGAATTTGATCGCTGTGCTAATTTGGCCCAATCTGGAGGAACCTTTTCCACAGCAAGCGGAGCTAATTTGACTCTCTTAGTTCGTCAGTTACTCTTTTTCTACAGACAGAATGAGGATTCTAAACGTTTGGTGAGTACTGTTACATACTTTGATCTGTAGTACTTTTATTTCATGCACTTTTAAAGTACTCTTTCAGTTAAAAGATTTTGAATGGATGCAAAAATGGGTTTGATCACTTCAGTAAATTCATTTAAGAATTCTGGGTTTTGCTGGCCTGAACTCTGCTGCTTTTCATTTAGAAAGAATAACTTAAAATTAGATTTTGTATGTGCTTGTGCACATTCACACAAAATCTGTGAAATGAAGCCTTGAAAAATCCTGTATTATTCACAGTAGTTTATTAAAAATAATATAATTCTATTAGAATTTAATTTGTAAGTAATAGTTTTCACTTAGCCCTCTGGTCGTTTTTACGGTGCTTGTGTTATGTTTGTTTCCTTACTGGTCAGTAATGCTGGCATATCAATTGCAAAGTAACTGCAAATTTCCCAAATTATGATTCATAGTGTATATTAATAATGGACATTGAAGAATTATGGCTATTTAAAACAAAACAAATGAACAGATGAATTTGTTCAGGAGTAAAGTTATTTTGGAAGTGTAATTCAGTTTTAACTTTGAAAGTTAAAAGCAGTTAAAGTACTCAAGCAGTTGAGAACTTTATGTTGTGTAACAATTGTTTTCTCAGCTGAACAAGGTTATCTTAGTTTGTGTTTTGTAAATCCTCCAAAGGCATCCAAAATAGGATTGAAATACTATGTGTTGAAATAAATGATATAACTTGTTGTTATAAACAATAAACTTATGTGCATATCTTCTTCCAGGTATGGATGTGTCAGAATTTAATTAAGCAAAGTTCTCAGTTTGTTAAGCAATTGGATGGTCCAGACAGACTTACTTGCTTATTCCAAATAAAAAGACTGTTGGGGCTGTGTTGCAGGTAATTTTTTCTCTATGTGCTACTGTCAGAAAAGTGTTTAGAAATTATGTCAGGCACTTGCTTTTTTCTTTCTGCAGCAGGTAATCAAATGTGAATTTGTTTTACAGAGAGGACTGTTTATGTTAAATTCATGTGTAGGTCATGGTATAGGATACTTTCCTAGGTAAGAGCAGTGGAATGTTCTTAAGCTCCATTGGCTTTCCAGGGATATGCTTTGGATATATTTTGTTTTAAAATTAGTGTTAATTAAGATGCCCTTCCTCACGCATCATTTTGAATTTAAAACATGTTAAGCAGTTACATTTTTGGTTTGGCAGTTTTTTGTTTGTAGTGGGAGGATCATGGGAAGGTAATCTATCAAGGTGACTTGAATATCTGGCAGCTAAAGCCTAGTTTTATAAAACAGTGTATTTGCTCATATCAGTCACACATCACCAGAGCTGTGGTGTCACTGGATTGAATTGTACATTTTTACTACGTTTGAAATTGTGGTTTTATAAATGTAGCTCTCTCCTTTTCTGACCGGGTGATGTGGGAAAACAAAAGGCGTGGAAGAGGTGTCCCTGCCTATACACATAAGGCAGTGGAAGAAGCAGCTTTTCTTAACTTTATGTTGCCAGCATGATGATGGGAATCTATAATTGTTTTCTGAGCTACTTTAATCTTAAGTAAAAGCCCAGAAAGTGAGCAGTGGGAGAGGTAGCCGAAGAAATGTTTCCCTGAGATAAGTTCATGATTCATGAGAAGCTGTAGCTTTTGATACTGTGGGGAAAAAAAAAGATGACTGTGTAATATCGTAGCAAAAGATGGTAGTTTGATTGCAGCTACATCTGTGAAATAAAGGTTTTGTCAGAGTATCTTTTTTTCTGTTTTGTGAAATGTTTAGCTATGATGTCAGAATTTCTGCTGACAGGTCCCATCTTTCCTAATGGCTGAGAAGAAAGCGTTTTGTTAGGGCAACTGTGCCTATAAAGATCTCATACTAACAAATACTTCTAATCCTAAACAGGCTCTTAATTTTCACCATTTTTGTGGTTACTGGTAGCTGTTTCATAAGCATTTTCTAAAAGGATGAGAGTGGTTGTGTTTGTAATATTTCAGTCTGTAATCAAAGACATACTGTTTTAGTTATGCCTATAGTGTTCCCTGGTGTTTGTTCCCAGCCCCTGTTGCTCTGGGGCTTTCATGGCTTCATTTTCAAAATGGGTGGTAATGCATATTGGAAAAACATGTTATTCTTTGCTTCTCTTCCAAGTTTTGCAGTAGACCTCCAAACTTTCAAGTCACTGACAGTAAGAATTTAGTAGGATGTAAAGATAAGAGTGCCATATTCGTAGAAATGCTAAAATCGGAATTACTATTACAAAAGGTGCCAACAAAAAGCTGTAGCTAAACTACTTGGAAACACTTGGAAACCTAATAGAATTAAGTTACTTTAAGGAGAATGTGAAAGGTTTTATTTGTATTTTTCTAAATCAATGTACATATGCCTGTGGTGAAATAAGACAAATATCTTGTTAAATAATTTTTTATTTCATTTATAGGCTATTGCAAAATTGCAATGATGACAGTCTGAATGTTGCACTTCCTATGAGAATGCTTGAGGTATTTTCATCTGAGAATACGTATTTGCCTGTTTTACAAGATGTCAGCTATGTGACATCATTAATTGAACAAATTTTGCACTACATGATTCAAAAAGGTGAGTAGTTGGGAAATAACTTAAAAATGAAACAAAATGTGTAGTATCTGAAGACCATGTTGTTTAATCATGTTTTTGACTTTACTACTGACACAACGAGTTCAGTCCTGCATATGCTAACAGACCTGTGTGTTAGATGGATGTTTTGCTAGTAATGAGAAGAATGCTTGAAGAATTGCTGTTTAATTTCTTAGGGAATTCTGTTTATAAATTGAATATTTTACTAAGTTACTTATACAGACCTCTACCACAGATTTTGGTACTAGGTGGATATTACCTAAGAAAAGTTTTATCGCAGTAGCTGTTCACACACACTCTCACCCAGAGCAGATCTAGGCTTTAGTAGTGTAACAGTTGGACATTATGTTGCAGTACTGTTATCTGTATCTACTAACATTCATTATTATGGTAAATTGGCATTACCTTTTCACCCTCCTAACACTAGAGACACCTTAGCAAAGAGATGGTGACCTAGCTTTTATTTCCCTTGTACCATCATCATCAAAACTGTTTGCTAGACTGCAATCAGTTACACCTGTGCAAACATACTGGGAGTTAATGAATTGTGTAGTTATCACCAAAATTATGTATTGTGTTGAAGAAACTCTATTACTCTGAGAACATGTGAAAAAAAATAATTAGGCTTTCTGATACCATAGCTTGAGTTTGCAAAACCTGGGGACAAAACATTATGAAATAAATGATCCAGCTTCATTGGTATAAAACACAAAAAGAACACCTTCCAATTTGTTAGATAATTGGTTGAATAATTCTATGTAAGTTTTAAAGTACATTTAGTAGATTAGGCTATCTTACCCTGTTACTAAGGATTAGGTTTTAGCTACTGCATGTTGAAGTCACTATGAGGAAAAAGAATTATTATAGTGCATTTCTTTTCCTTGCCTATGCCTAGTGAAAACTACTGAAGTATTTGTGTTTGTCTTATTGCTTACTATGTTATATCTTCCAGAATGCTTACATTTCTTCTCTGAGTATAATATTTAGTCCTCATAGCCAATATGTGAAAGTATCAGCATGTTAGGTCATTAATTTTAGTGAGAAAATACAGCTTTCTGATCACTTAGAATGTAAACAAAAAGAAATGATTGTATGAAATTACAGATGTTCTGTCTCCTAATAATTTATGATGGTTAATTTGTAAAGAATCTGTAGTCAGCTTTTATTAGTATATGGTTTTGCCTATGATTTGTCTTCCATGTGTATCTTGCAAGCATTGCTAAGTTGTTCCTTTGTGGTGACTTCCACTTGTTGCATTGTATGTGAAGTTAGGTAGTCCCTGACAAAGGGTCTTAGACTGGACCTCTTGGTGATGTGATGCTACTTACATATTTACAGTGATTCCTGTAGTTGTGAAACTTGTGTTTTAGGAGTTCATTGAGCAAGAGGAAGTTGATTTAAGAAGAATAAAATCATATGACTCCATTTGTACTTTAGTGAAACAAAAATAGATTGCCTTCTAACACATCTTTATGGCTTGGGTGGTAATGCGTTTTATTACTGTCTGAGAGATCCTTGATTTGGAAACAGTAATTGTGTTCCTCAGCTTGCTAAAGCAAGTTCTTTATAGAATTTGAGTGTTCTGCTAGCTGGGCTCTTACCTGTATGATGCAGTCATGTTTTGGAGAAGAGGGAAACTCCAGAATTTCTGAAAGGGTGGAAGGACTGGTGTGAAAAACATGACTAGAATCACTTGTAGGAGAACATCTTTTTCATAGTTCAGTTTAAAAATATCAAATAGTTCATAGTGCAGTTTAAAAATATCAAATACATACTTCAGTTTAAAAATATCAAATTACTTCATCAGCAGGAGCTCAGGCTTTGAAAACAAAATTGAGTCTGAATGGAGTTATCTTTCTATGATTTTATAAAGTGATGTTTCCAAAGAGATTGCTGGTATATCCTGTTACTTATGTGAGTGTGACCTAGGCTATTGTAAAAAGTCTTCCTAAGTAAAACTTCTTGCAGTGAATTATAAAATTCATTCAATTAATGTTGAGTATATAAGTTGCTTTATACAAAAAAGGAGAAAAATAATACTGCATCCAAAAAATTGTGTTTCTTGTTTGCAGGCTACTACAAGTCGCTTTATTTGTTAATTAACAATAAGCTTCCCTCGAGTATTGAGTATTCTGATGTTTCTCAAGTCCCTGTTGCAAAAATACTTCTGGAGAATGTTCTGAAGCCATTGCACTTTACATATAGCTCCTGTCCAGAAGGTGCAAGGTAAATAAAGATACTAGTAGGTACTTGTATACTCATTTCTAATTGCTCTTCTGGAGTGTCTAGCTGTTCTTTTGGTACAGTTTGTTGATTTGTTTGCAATAGTAATGACTTTTTGGCAATGCTGTACATCAGTGGAACAATGTAGCTTCAGGTGCGTTTAAGATAAAGGCAGTAAAATGCTGAAGACTACAATAAACAGCATAGGGAACAGCAGGTATTGCAATATGCAGGGACATAAGAGTGCAAAAACTTAGATGAGAGCAGAGGTGCAGCTATGGGCAGATGAATTTTAGAGTTAAAAAGAACTTTGTGACAGAGGAGCCGAGGTTTATGGAGAGAAGTAGTGAAGTCATAGTTTACAAGCAGAAATAAGCACGTATGTGGACAGATGGAACAAAAATCAAACTGATAGTATCACATGTAATAGTGTTTTGTGTTAAAATAGTATTTTTTTGGAAAAAAAAGGATAATTGTGGGTTTTTAGTACAGTTTTTATTTCAAGGTTATAAACAACAAACTTCAGAATAATTACTGTGAGTTCATGAAAAGTTTAAAGGTTAAAATTACATACAGGATCATCAGGAAAATGATATAGTAGAAGAAGTTAATTTTTGAGAAATCTGAGAAAGTTAGTTTATCAGCACAGGATTAATGGAGAACATCTTTATAGTCATCTTGATGGATGTGTTCAAACTTGCAAATTGATCTACTGTTCTGTGGATGTAATTGTGGGAAATTGTGTCTCTGTTTTCTATAAAGATAATTTTTCTTCCATTTCAGGCAGCAGATTTTTGCAGCCTTCACAGAGGAGTTTCTGGCAGCACCTTTTACAGATCAGATATTCCATTTCATCATTCCAGCGCTTGCTGACGTGCAGACCATTTTCCCTTATGAACTCTTTCTGAATGCACTATTATTAGCAGAAAGGAGAAGTGATGAAGCCCCATGGCTTTTTTACTTTGTATTAACAGTTGGAGAAACATACTTGGGTAAGAAAGTTGAATAGCAAATTCATTGTTTTTTCATATTTCATAAAATCACAGAATGGTTTGGGTTGGAAGGGACCTTAAAGGTCAGCCAGTTCCAGCTTCCAGCCTCCCTGCTATGGGCAGGGACACCTTCCACCAGACGAGGTTGCTCCAAGCCCTGTCCAACCTGGCCTTGAGCACTGCCAAGGGATGGGGCAGCCACAGCGTCTCTGGGCAACCTGTTCCAGTGTCTCATCACCCTTATAGTAAAGAATTTCTTCATAATACCTAATATAAATCTCCTCTCTTTCAGTTTAAAACCATTCCCTCCTTTCCTAGTACTGCATGCCCTTTAAATACATGTTACGTATTTCCACAGTGTGGTTTATGGCCCAACAGAAAGGACAGTTTGGGGATAAAAGTGTTGGAGAGATCTGTTTTAATAGCTAGTCTTACCCTTTTTGGTAAAAAATACACATAAATTCGGTAAGATTTGGCATAATGTGTTTTGGTCAGGTATTTCTGGTAAAATATGTTTTATAGTGCGGTGTGATCTGGCTAACAATCTTCTATTTCAATGTATGTGCTACAGGATCCCTTTCAGAAGAAGGACTTCTTGTGTATTTGAGGGTACTGCAGACTTACCTCTCTCAGCTGCCTGTGTCTGCTTCTGGTACAGATTGTCAAGATGCAAACAGTGATTCTGAAGATGAGGATGAAGAGATCAGTAAAATGACAGCTGCACCAGTAAGCAATACGTAATTTCTTTGAATGAATTTCTGTTACAGCAGTAGCAAATATAAGCAACGCATGATCACCATAAGGCCAGTATTTTTCTAACTACACGTAGAAGGGAAAATATTTACTTCTAAAAAGATAGATGGCCACTCACTGTAAGCAAATGGAACTAGTTGCTTACATTAAAAACAAAACCTTTACTGTAATAAATCTTAAAGTACTGATACTTTGTCTGCAGAAGTGCAGAGCTTTTATTTAACAAAAAAAGTTTAAACTTCTCTTTAAATTTGTATTTTACAGAAACTATTGTTCTCTGTGTTCTTTAAGTTTGTGATAATGCTAAGATGTCATGAAGCGTACATGTGTTTTCATTTTTTTTGTCGTGGAAATATTACAGGTTCAACTTGTCTTCACCCTATAGAATTAGCTCTATTTAAATATACCTAACTACCTTGAAAGGCTCTCAAATGGGGAACACCTGCTCTCTATAGTAATGTGTAGAGACTGTATTATAAACAGAATCTTTCACTGTAAGCTTCCACCAGTTAAGTGAATCTGTGATAACTTTAACCTCCTAACACCTGGATCAAGGCTTGAACAGTCGAAGGTGGAGAGTCTCAGAGATTATTTTGCCTTCCCACACTGAGCTATGAAATCTGGATTTTTGTGTCTTTCAGGTATTCTGAGATTTCTGGTATTTTCTTGGTGAAGTGTTGAAAGCAAAAGGCTGTCAGCTCTTCTGAGAGATACTGTTCCTATAATGCCTACTTACATTTCATTTTAAATGCTTACCTTTTACCTGTACATTTTTAGGTGCAGTGTGTTACTGTTACCACAAAATCTTTACAAAGATAGTGTGAATAAAATATATGCCAGATACGCACATACCATATGTGATGTAAATATTGGCAGATTCTACTTGTGGCTTACAGATATTGGTGATGTTTAAGAGGTGACTAGATACACTTCTCATGCTTTATTGTGTATTAGCCTGTATTAGCCACTCTGAAGTTTTTTGTTGTTTGTTAACAACAAATGGTTATGAATGCAAAAATACTGTTTGTAAAGGAACTTGCCGCAGACATCCATCCGTTCCTGGATTTCATGTCCCCTGATATCATGGGGGAAGAGATGACTTAAGGTGGCTCTTGGGTCTGATAATTTTAAGAATGGTACTGGGATATACATATGTGTTTCTGTTTTAATTATTGTACGAGAAAACTATTTTCTAGCAAAATTCTGAAGTATTTCAATTTTTTTTAAAAGGGTGGTACTTGCCCATTAACTTAAAGCAAATTTTGCTTTAATATGTTTGTAGGGTGATGGGAGAATATCAGTTCAGTACATAACTGAGGAGTGTCTAAAGAAATTGGATACAAAGCAGCAGACAAATACTCTACTGAATATGGTTTGGAGAGATTCAGCTAGTGAAGAGGTCTTTACCCTGATGGCATCAATCTGCCACACGCTAATGGTACAACACCGAATGATGGTGCCAAAAGTCAGGCAAGTATAAATAATGATGTTGAACTGTAGTACATCTAAAATTGGTTTTATTAGATAGATTTGTTTTAAATACCCTGTGATGTTAATTCTGTTTTTTCTTTTATCATCAGCTGAAATAAATTATTTCAAATGTAAATAATAATTCCAGGCAAACCAAAGAGCGGATTCTTTCTGTTTCTTATTTTATTTCTTGTTCCTAGTGCACTCTCTTCAGTAATCACTAAATTCAGAAATGTAAGCTCTTGGTTTGTTCAGTGAACTGCAAATAGGTTAGTTGAGGACTATGGAACAGGTAGTGATCAGTGTGATCAGAAAATCACACACAAACAGGGATTGCAAAGATTCTTGAAAGGAGTTTATCCATCCTTGTGCTCAGAGGCAGCATCAAGTGTCGTTGTAGCAGAAGTTTGTGTAGCTTGTGTTTAAAACTTTCAGTGATACGGATTCCACAGTCTCTCTAGCTAGCTGAGCACTGAAACCAGTGTGTTTTCTACCCTCTGTAATATATAGACAAAGTCTCTCTTGCTACAAATGAAAATGATTCCTAACTGTTGAAAATCACTGTTATTGTTTGGAAAGGGCTTTGACACCTGAGATGGAGATAAGACTTGTTAATTTGTACAGCATTCTTTTACAAAGACTGCAAAACACAAATGTTACTAACAATGGAAGAGGATTTTTGACCTTTTTATTATCAGACTAAGACCCATAAGTATTAACACTGTTCTGGTGCACGTAGTTTTGAGTGAGTATGTAGTTGCTGGTAATAAAGTAAGTATTTTGGGAATGCTGTAAACATAATTCAAGCTGCATTGTAAACAGTGATACAGAAAACTAATTAGGTGCTATCTTAGCCCAGTGGTGTTTATAGCTGCTAAAGGAAGTAGGATGTCAGTGAAACTGTGATTGTTCGATTAGGGTAATTAGTTCTTTGTAGACTAATTGCATTAGTGCAGGATGTGAGACCTGAAGATCATAGCAGCAGTTGAATTAGAATGCCTGCTTTATTGTGGCAAGTAGTACATTGCCTTGGATAGTAATTACTGAGTTTAAACGCATCACTGCTTTGACTTAAGGTTTGCTGGTGAACTGTGTAGAAAAGGGTGTTTAATAAATAAAGAAGTCACACAGAACTTTAATTGTATGAGCATGACATCTGTTTCCTCTAAGAAGCTATACTGGGTCTTTGCAATTACTTGTGGTAACAGGGTAGTTACACATTGGATAAATTCAGGAGTTATGAAAGCTCTACTTAACATCTTAGATCAGATAGTAATTTACTAATTTCGAATTTTGAATACTCTCAAAATAGTTATATGTATAAATTTTAGAAATAAGCAGTAGAAATACATTTGTGTCAGTAATACCAATGAAATTACTTTTGTGGTCAAAATGAAGTTAATTCAGGTATTTGGTAAGTTAAAGTAGATATTTAATTACTAGTTCTGGCTTCGAAGTCAGTTGTAAGTGCTGGATTTGCCAGGCATCATCATGTCAGGAGGTGTGAATCTTTTGTCTGTTCTCAGTACATTTGAGACTTGGCTGAAGTTACCAAGCAGCTATTCTAAACATCATTTTTGAGTGTTTTTCAAAGGACATTTGATGTTTGTTTTACAGGTACTAAATATTGTGCCATTTCAAAAGGCAAAAGATTTTTTTCATCTTTAATTTCAACTTTTTTAATTGCTTGATGATTTTTTTTATTGCCCAAACATTTTGTCAAATTTAGTGATAGTCTTTTGAAAGATGATTCACTTATTTTTGTAACTAACTTTTAAATATACTGTATTCTGAATAGAAAGTAATCTATTCAATTAAACCATGCAGAAATAGTTAAGCAGAAATAATGTATCTAATATATCTTAAGAGCTCAGAAATGCTGTTACTTTTTTTTTGGAAGCATACTGGGTCACATGGTTTAAAAGTTAGAAAAGCTTGTTAGCCTTTTGTAAGACTTTGCTTATTTCACAGAATCACAAAGTAGTTTGAGTTGGAAGGAACCTTTAAAGTTCACCTGGTTCCAGCCCCACTACCAAAGGCACCTTCCACTAGACCAGGTTGCTTAAAGCCCCATCCAGCCTGACCTTGAGCAGTTCTAGGGATGGGGCAGCCACAGCTTCCCCATCCCCACAGTGTTTAACCTGGAGTATCCCATGAATATTTAACAGCATTTAAAACTGTAATAGAAAAAAATTAAAACCATAAAAGCTGCAAATCTGCAAAGTGAGATGCTGAATAAAGAAAGTAGTAACTGAAAATAACTTTTCAGTAACTCCAAAGAAAATTAGGGTAAAGTTAACACAGGCTTCAGAAGGAAGGAAACAACAAATACCTCTGCATTAGTTTTAGTTCTGAGGCTTTTTTGCTTCTTGGGGAAAAAAAAAGATGAGAAACTCATAGTATAGACATGTCAGTCTGCTAAACTGAATGTTTTTTCTTCTTGTGGTTTCTCAGTACATCTTTGATTGGATGATGGTGATACTGTATGGTGTTAGGAATGTTGGTGATGCTTCATTAGCTCAGTTGTTTCTTTGATTTTGCAACAGAGACTTAAGAAAGAGCAGAACAGGATACCCAGCAGTACATTCTAGTTTTGAACATAGTTTCTTTCTGATTTCTCTGCAGAGGGTCATGGGTTCCAGAGGTGGGTTACTGTTTTGGAAAGATGCAGTCAAGCCCTATTAAAGAAACAAGCCAGAAGACTTGAAAAACTGTTCTAGCATTTAGTAAGCCAGATGAGAGGTGTAGAATAAAATCTGCATTGCAATGAAGTCACTGGGAATTGTGCTTGTTTTCAGAGGGGCAGGGCTTTCATCTTTTCACTGTAAAGTTGATACACATTATTGAGTACAGTTATTAAAAAAGGAGAAAAAATAAGTCTTGAAGCATAGTTGTCATAAGGAGATTTGAAAGACTTTAGTTCATCAAAACTGTACTTTAAGTAGTAAATTTAGTTCGGCAAAATATTTAGGTGCGTAACTTAAATACCACAGAGTTCAGGTCATCACTATGGCTTACTCTTAGTGGTGGGAACTGTGCTTGTACTACGACTTTAGTAGCTGTCAGCTGTCAGTGCCACAGAGTAGTTGCTAATCTGGGTTTAACCATTTCATAGTGACCAAGTATTACTGCTGTTGAATTAACATCTCTAATCTTAACCTGTGGTTGAGAATTATTTGGAAATTGATGTTCTGGTGTAATAGGAGCAGCCTGTCTTCATACGTGTGCTGAAGATACTCAGGCTTTACATGAGGCTGTTCAAGTCATTCTTTAGGGAATGTTCTTAAACTGCTGTGCTTATCTCAAAACCAGAATCATTGAATATGAAGTTGTTACGCTTTTTCTTTCTGCTCTCTGCCCAATACAAAGTGAGGCAAAAAGCATAAAGTAGCCCAGAGAGCGGTATAGTTCATTTAGTGATGGCTTTGCCTGCTGTCTCGTACCTGTGACACCTTGCAGTTCAGAAGTGTCAGAATGCACTGCCCTGGCAGCAGTGACCTTTCACAGACTGTATGAGCTCCTCTCATTCTAGTGTATTCTCTTCATTAACTTAAATGGTCTCAGTGGGAAACAGGGCCCAATTTATGACCTAGACTGAAAAATCTTGCCTTTAACTAATTAACTTGTAGTGGTGCCTCAGCTAAATTAAGCTTAATGGGTCATTTAATCTGTCCCATTGCGCAGGAGGAATTTGACACTTTTTTAAAACCAGAGGTGCCCAAAATACTGTTCTGGCAAGTAGACATAAATCATGTGGCCTTTGTGGACAATTAGATACCTACGGAGAGAATCAAGGTTATAAATAAATGATTGTTATGTGCTTACTTTGGGGAGCAGATAATTTAATTTGGTATGATTAAAATAGATGCGTAACAGAAATCACTGGAGTAAATTTAACTCTCTTGTAACCTGTGGCTGAGACAGTGTGCCTGTTTACACTTGAAAGGAGCTTATCCTTTTTGGTAGTAGAAAAATGGTTCCTCTGCCAAACTACAGTGTTAGATCTGAAGATTGAACGTTACAGAAAATCTATTAATGAATCCATTATATAAAACCTATTAATGAATCCATTATATAAAACCATTTATAATCTCAAAGGAGTTGGTGGTATGCTGTGAGATTTTCAGGAAAATTCAGGACCACTCATGAGAGGGGTAAAACCCCAGAACTTAAATTTTAGCAGCTTGTTTTGTTTTTAGAGTACTACAGATACAGAAAATGAAACTCTCAAGTTAGATTATAATAGTTTGCATAAAAAGAGATAATGTCTAATCTTTTTTATTTCTGGTATTCGAGTGTGTGTGTATTTTCTGTTTGTTTTCTTTAAAGGAAGAAGTGATCAAGATTATGTGGATATTCAAGCTTTACATTGACTAATCTCAACACTTTCTGAATTGATAATGCTTTGTCTTCAGGGTGTATAAGCTATCCCTGTAATACATAATCTGTGAGGTGTAGTGGGACAGTTCATATCAGTATCCTGATAATGTAGTTTATCTGCCAAAGAAAAGGACCAATTGAGGTAGATTTTGACCTATTTTAATTCTCAAAGGTTTTATTCTTTCTTTTTTTATTTTTTTTTTTTTTTAGGCTTTTTAATTTTATTTTTCCAGTGTGAAGCCAGAAATTTTGAAACTTTTTAGTACAGCCAATTTCTTGAACTTTTGCAGTGATGCAATTTTTCAAGGCCATCCTTGCACTGTGGTGGTGTTTGTTTTTTTTTTTTTTTTCGGGGGGGGTATGTGTTCTTTTCTGGTTGCAGTTGTCTTCTGCTTTGAAAGCCAATTTCTGTACTTGGAGTGGGAGGGTAGTTGGTTGTTTCTGTTGTCATTCCTTTTGCAAAGAATTGTATTTCGTGTACATCTAGTGATGTAAACTTTTTGAAACACATGGCCTAATTCTCCTTTCTGTGTTTAGTTGTAGTTTCATGTTTATTTTCTGGTAACAGTATGGAAAGACTTAGAATTGATGAATTCATCTGCTTCATATTTCATAGGTATTTCATATTGACAAAATAGGTTGTATGATAACATCCTCTACCAAATTTGCATTTTTGTATTTAACCAGATTTTTAAGGAAGGGAAATGTGAAGGTTGAATACATTCAGCATTTCTGGAATCGGGCCATGAAATACAGCAGTTGTTACAATTGACTGCCTGAATCACGGATATGGAATAAAAATGGCTAAAACTTAGACAAAGGTTATTATTATAAGCTCTTAAGGTTTGTCTTTTTTTTCCCTTCATTATTGCTGAACATTGCTAGAATGAAAAAATGAATTACATTATGATAGGTTCAGTGTCCATAATGTTTGTTCATTGCCACTAAAACTATTACATAATTTCCAGGGATGATTGTAAAATTAACAACTTTTTACTTGGAAGCCCTATGAGACCTAACGGCACTGTGCCAAATTACTTTTAATTTCAAATATGAGGCCGAAAAGTGAAGGTCACTGAGGAAATTTCTCATTTCAGAAACCAAGACATCAGAGATCATTCAGATAGTTAAACATTAAAATAGAAATTCTTACTCTAAATTAGCTAGATACAGTAAGCCCTTCCTACACGATAATGCGTCATTTCCACCCAAATGACAAAATAATATGACTTCAGAAGGAAGTAAAATTCCCATGAATCGAATTCAGGTTGGGTGTTATCACAAATTCCACATATTCAAGGGAGAACTTAATTTTACAGTAAAACTTACCTTAAAACTGGCATTAGTTGCAGTTGCTTCAAATTTGACTTGAACTTACTGATGTTCACCAATATACAACTGCTCTGGAGTATGTGAAGCTTCCAACTCTTTTTGAAAGTACCGATCTATGTATTTAAAATCTATGTATTGAAATGAGAGAGGTGATATTTCAACAAAGACCAAGAGATTGCTTGTATTTCATTTCACCTTCTTCTGTATGCCCCCACTCTATTTCCAAAACTCCCCATACCTGTGAAACTCTGTCCTTCCTGTGCAGTGAAGAGTTCTGCCCTTCGTCATTCTACTTCATCCTTGAAAAGTTGCTTGTTTGTGTGACTGGCTTTTGATGAATGCATGAGGTTTTAGAGCCTAAAGAAGAAATAGCTGTATGAGTGCTGGGGAGAGGCTGTGCTTCAGTGAAGGCAGTAGAAAGAGCCTGCAAGGCTTCATCCAGGAAGGGAGGGCCTAGAGGCATATGGCACTATGCAGTATTTGTGAGTGGGCCTGTAGATTTTCTTGTGTTTTCTGTGTGTAAATGTCTTTAAATGAATTGCTGCTTAAACCATTCTCAAATGTTTCTACCTGTTTACTCATATTTTACTTTTTTCCTTAATGTGTGCTTTCTTTCCTTTTGCCATCTGACACAATTTATCCATGTGGTCTGTAATTAATAGTGTTTTTCAGGCAGCAGTTAGTCTGCTCCCCACGTTCCATTTCCCAGCTTCCTCCTGCGTGTACGCATGGTCACCCGGAATTTTGGTACTATGAGGCTATTGATCTCTGAGAGATGTGGGACCTGAGTATCTGTTTTACCTTATTTATTCTAATAGTAGTTGTGAGACCTAGGAAAGTAGGGTAACTAACTGAATACAGCTCTTCAGAACTTGAAAAACGACATTTGAGTCAGTCAAATCCTGTTTGTTTTCCTAGAAGACATTAATTGTTTCAAATTATATTTGTCACATCTGTTCCTTTGTGCAGTGGGCAAAATAGGCTAGGGGAGAACTTGTAATTCCAGGATGCTCTTTATTTCTCATTTCTATAAAAAGCTTATCATCTGAAATAAGACAGTTAAAGTTAGTCCTGTGTATAACTGACTTGTGAGCATACACATTTATTTTTACAGCTAATAACTAATTTTCTGTGTACAGATGGATTAGTTTATGTGTAGTACTAGTAGTGTGGTAACTGTCCTGCATTGTAACTGACATGCATTGTTCCACTGATGATGTTGTATTTGTGTCTGCCAGGCAGAATATACCAGTAAAATTGCGACATAGTTTAAAATCAGAATTTGCTTCTAGCATAAATGAACTTTGAGGTATTTTATCTACTTTTCACAAAAATTGCTCTATTTGTTAATGTCCAAAGAATCAGAGAAATGACCTATTAACTAATTGGTGTGATTTTATAGATCAGAATTTGAAATAAATCCCAGATAAATAACTCTGAGTGAATATTATTGTTATTGATGAGTATTTAATTCTCTGGAATACTGCGAACATGGGCTTATATCATGTGGTTTGTTGCTGAGTTAATGAAAGCTCTGTATTTTAGGTATAAGGATTTATATGCTTGGTTTATTTTGGCTTTTGGGGCTTTCACCAGATTTGAGTAGGGTAAGAGCCTCCATCTTGAAAAAATAAGTTACTTATATTTGAGAAATGTTTGACAGATAAGTTCTTAGAGAAGCATTGTGTTTTGTGAATAGTCTTTTGGAAGACAATTTATTTGAATTTCCCTTTGCAGGCTTCTTTATAGTTTAGCCTTTAATGCCAGATTCCTGAGGCATCTCTGGTATTTGATATCTTCAATGACTACACGAATGATTACAGGGTATGTATTATACCATTCCTGAAACTGAGTCTTTGTTAAAGCAGAGTATATCTAGTGAGAAGAGAATGAGACAATTAGTGGTATTACAGTGCTTGTGGAAGGTGATTAAAACCAAAAATGTAATGGTGACTTAGCTCCTGTGATTGCATAAAACAGCAAAATCTTGGAATTTAGATATCTGCAAGTAATTATAGGTAAATAAATAGAATCTTCATTTAAAATAAGGCAGATGTTGTGCAGGTTTTGGAGTGCTTACTAGGATTAGTCTAACACTGAAGCTACCTGTACTTCATCCTAAATGTGTGAGATTTATCTCATATACTTTGACTAATGCAGAAGTTAATGTCTGGATTCCCAGGAATTTAGGCACTGGACCTGCAGATTTGCTTTGTGCTGACATGCAGATTAGTTACTCTTTTTGCTTTGTGTTTCCGTTCTAAACCAGAAAGTCTCTGCATTCAGTGATACTTACTGCCAAAGTTTATGTATCATCAAGACACTGGGATGCTATAGTGACAAGAACTTAAAAAGAGTGACCTTATTTTGCAAGAATGGGAGATAGTTATTTAACTGAGAGCACTGTCCTTATTTTGCTGTAGTAACTACTACTGAATATTTGTAAGATAATGCTGAATACTATAAAAAAGAGTATATAATTTACCATCTCTTTAATTTTGCATTTTTATATTTTAAGGTCTATGGTGCCACTTCTTCAAGTGATTTCAAGAGGGTCTCCAATGTCTTTAGAAGACTCTAGTCGAATTATCCCTCTCTTCTACCTTTTTAGTTCTTTGTTTAGTCATTCACTTATTTCTGTTCATGATAATGAATTCTTTGGTGATCCAATTGAAGGTGAGTTTCAAGCATACTAAATAATAGTGCTGTGCAAAATGTTTTTGTGTAATGCCACAAAGTTCTCTGGACAACAATTTGCTGACATCTGTGGGGAAGCTGTTCTGGGCTGACTTGCTGATGGTCCCCTGAGCACTCAGCTGTCAGCTGACTCTTTCATAGTGATTGCATTTAGAAAAAGAAATGATAGTCTGCACCTTGGGAACCCTAGCTTTATGTGGTCTGATATGGACATTCTTAATCATGATAATTTTTAATGAGGTAGTGAAGAGATTGAGCTACTTCTGGGCTGAACCTGTAGTCTAATGTGAAAAATTTAATATAGCAGGAATCACAAAAGTGAATAAGAGAATATTGTGATTACAGTAATTGTGACTGCAAACAATTACAAGATCTGATTGGCTTTATGAATATATACTCACTCTCTTTTTGGGTGGTGTTTTGTTGGTCTACCTTTAGATTTTATGCGTGAATAATTAAAGTTCCAATGAAATAAGTAGGGTTTTGATGTTTTGGTGTTTTGTGGGGTTTTTTTGGTGGTGGGGTTCTTGTTTGTTTTTTTTTTTTAATACCAAAATGATTAAGAAAAAGTTCTTTAAGGAAACTTAAGCTTGCGCTTTATGTAGTTGCAGGTCAAAGACAATCATCAATGATGCCTTTTACACTAGAAGAGCTTGTAATATTATCACGTTGCCTTCGAGATGCGTGTTTAGGAATCATAAAGTTGGCTTACCCAGAAACAAAACCAGAGGTTCGTGAGGAGTATATTGCAGCATTTAGAAGTGTTGGAGTAACAAAAAATACGGAAATGCAGCACTGTATACAGACGGAACAAAAAAGGTGGATTCAGTTATTCAAGGTAAATGGTGTAAATTTTCAGAACATATTTCAGTAAAATTTTCAGGCATCTGATGGCGATAGAAGATTAGGTTAATTTTTTTTCCCCCTTTAATTACACTTTTAAGACAGTTATTACAAGGAATATGGATTTGGGAAATTTCCTTTTTGGGTGTATATGCGAAACAGAGAGTAAATTCTGATAATTGAAACTTTTTTTTTTTTTTTCTTCTGGGAACTCTTAGTTTCTTTTCTTGCTTATCCTGTTTGAAAAAAAGTTACTGCATAGGATATAGGTTTTAACTTAGACTCCCATTCTGCAAGGTCCATAAGCATTTCGTGATAACTGTATGTAGGTGTGAAATTCTAACTGAATCATACGATTATTAGAGTACTTTTGTATTCAGCGGTTTGACTAAATGGGTACCATGCTGTAGTGGTTTTGTTGGTGTTTTGGGCTTGCTGGAATACTAATGGGATGGTGAATCTGGCTTAGCAAATGTAAACTTAATGTATGTTCTTTCTGGATATCTACCAGTGTATCTTCTGCCAGTTTTATCCATGGCCTCCTGCTGAAGACAAGTTAAGAGAAGCTGAAAATGTTGGCAGGAAAAGACCTAATATAACTGTTGCCGAAAAAAAAGGAGTTCTTGACTTGTCATGAAAATTCTGCAGCAAACACATCTAGTCAGCTAAAATTGCTCATTAAAGAAGTGGGAGCAGAAGAAATGCATTTTCCAAATTGAATGCGAGATTTACAGTCTGTTTAATACTGGCGACCTCTCGCACACTAATGTTCAGTTCGAGTCATCAGCTGTCCCTTCAGGTCTTTTATCACCGCTTTTGTCAAGCTATCTATTTAATTGAAAGAAGTTAATTGAATGAAAATGATCAACTAAGCTTGTATTAATATTGCTAATGGAACTTTCTTCTTGGCCATGTTTGGAGAAAGATGTCATGCTAGACTTTAGGAAAGGCCCATTAAGGCTTGCACTTAACCTGATGGGCTAATTAAGGAATGCTTATTCATTCTACAAGTCTAAGATAGCCTCTATCTAGCCTATTCTGCCTGATTTTACAACACATTTCACTTATGAGCATAAGCATTAATAGCAGGGAGAGTAACTGATAATGTTTTGATTGCACTGAATACAGTCCTAATGCACCACTGAATTCGTAATTTGCACGGATTGCTCTAATATATGTTTGCAGAATTTAATTTAATTACTTGTCTTTAAGTTGCCAAATAAACTTTTGATTTAAAGGTCACATGTGAAAACTCCAGTATGTCTATTTTTCTAAGAAGGACAGCACGCTAGGGGTGTTTATTATGTATGCAGTTTATATCATGCCATGTTCTATTTCTTCTCTTTGGTTTGTCATTTTTAATCATTTTATAAGCTGCTTATGTTTTAGATGAATTTGATTTATTTTGGTGTCATTCAGAAAGTTGCAAAATCCTGAGTTGATTTGTCCCCCTTTGTCAGCCAGAAATTAAACTTGTAGTGGAACTCTCTAAACTTGTTACTATTTCCTGGAGCCAGGGTTGTCTTCCATTAGGTGAGTTACAAATGTAAATCTTAAGGATATCTTGAAGGCTCTGGTTCTATTAAAAAAAGTAGTTAATAACAAAGCTTCCCTCGTTTACTCCTCATTTACTCCTTCAGAAGTGTATTGTTACAGACAGCTGCAGCTAGTTCATCTTACAAGAAGACTGCTGTACGCAGCACCTGAGTCTTTTCTGAGGGCAGCTTCAAAATAGCTTTATGTCAGTAGCAGGCAACAGTATCTTCTTCCAAATCATTAAAACAAAGCTGAAGTGGTTCATCACTTGTCAAATAGGAGAGAGAAAACTAAAGAAAAACCTAGGCAAGCTGCCTGCAGAGAAAAATGCCTGTTCTTTCCCTATCACCTGTGCCTTTAATTTCATGGTTTTCCTTTATTTTCTTTCCATTTCTCACACTTGCTTTGCATCTTTTCCATGCCACTTGTATCTAATGAAATGCATTCCTCTGTGTATGTGTGTGTGTGCGTGCGTGTGTGTGTATATATACACGCAAATAGAGGCTTTATTTCTGCAAGATAATGATAAATCTGAAAACAGTGAGGTGTCAGTATTTGGTAACAGATTGGAGGTCTTTGGTAAGATTTACATCTTTATTTAGTAGAATCGCTCTTTTTTTGTACAATATTGAATAGTGTAGTTACTGTTACAGATTCAGTGGAAGGATTTACGTTACAGGTAAATGAATATGGATGTTGTCAAATAAAATAATTTTTTCACTATCTTGAGTTACTCCTATGAAATTAAGTTGCTAATTCTGCTGAATGTTAGTTTTGACTGTGTCTTGCACTTGGCACTTTATTGGAAAGAAATCTCCATTTTAATATTATTTATTGAGTGGGTCTTTTGTTTCAATAAAATATATACCAAAAATTTTAGTTATGAATTCAGATTGCTGGTGTTCTCAGGATCCATGCATTATGTAGAAGGAACTCCAGTCTCACCTAATTTGATTCAGCTTCCTTAAAGGATTCTTCAGCTGCTTATAAAATATTTTATTAGCATGGTCCTCATGTGGATAACTTTGTTAGATTTTTTTTTTTTTTTTCCTCCTTTTTATATCTTGCTCTTGCATATAGTGGTAATGGGACCAGAGAGCTTCAGTGACCCGTCTGACCTGCACTGAATTTTATAAGGGCAAGGTGATGAAAATTCCTGTGTAATCAGACAGTTCCCTTATTAGCATTCTTTGTTCTGTCTTTATTCAAGAGGTTACTATACAAAGGGTATCTTGAAAGGTCTTTTGTGTAGTATCTAGATACAGAATCCTTTAGAAGGCCCATTAAGCTCTCTGTTACTCTTGACACCTGCCCATTAAGATTGTCTTTTAGCAAGATTACTTCAGAGAAGCTTGGCGTTTGTTTTTTTATATTCATTTTTCAAGGGCTGTAGTTCTAAGTTGCAAAACAGATGGCTGCTCATTGTAGCAGTGATAATGTCTTTTTAGCCTAGTAATTTAATATTCTATTGATTCCACTTAATTATGTTTTATGTAGTGTTGCTTGAGATGGAGTAGTTGTTAGCTCGATAGCTCTTTTTTTTGTTTCCCCCCCCCCCTTTTCTGGATTGGAGGAAACTGCCAAGAAAAATACTAAAGTTGCAAAGACACCCTTGTGACCATGCTGACCATTATCCTCAGCCTTCCAGTTTTGTTATGAAGATGTGCATAAACTAGTTGCCTATACAGTTTTCTCATTTTCTGACAGTATGGTTATGATAATGACAGAATTACCTTTCGGCATAGTGGTTTGTGCTGATGTGCTTGTGGTTGGGCGAAGTACGGGTGTACACATCATCACCCATGATGGTTCAGCTGATAAACAGCAATTTGTTAAACCAGTTTCTAGGGTGGTTTTCGGGTAGATGCATATACCTTCTGCTGGGAAAGAGCTTACTAACTTTAAACACTGAAGGGCTTTTATCTAACACATTTTGGTTGTAAATAACATAACAAATAAAGCCATATATATATGCATATTAAATGAAAGTTACTACTAGTGCTGCCCCCTCCCCATATTTTTAGGACTGTAGATGCTTTTTGTCCTTGTGGTGATCACTACAAGAATATTTGGCAGCCATCCTTTTCCTGGAAATGGTCATTTTGTGATCTGTTTTCAGGCATGTTTGGGCTAGGCTTTTCTCAGGAATGGTTTTATATGCTGCATGCTTTAGCAATCTTACGGTGGGGTTTACTGTGCATTATAAACATCTAGGCTAGTCACACTGGGATCTGTTTTAATAGAGACAAGAACTTTGAATGTGTAGATAATTTGGTAAATTGTTAGCTACTTCTGGATTATATGATTTTTTTTCTCTACCTTTGAAAACACTAAGAAGATACTAATTGAAAAGGAGCCTGTAGTGTCCTTTCAGAGGTAGTCCTTTACCCTTAAAAATATTAGCATTTGTTTATAATTACCTCAGTGTCTTTTTGATACAGCCTCTTCTGAGGCACCTTTACCTGAAAGTGGTTTAGTTTGTTAATGCAGGAACCAGAATAAGTCAGTCTTTCATGTACTTTAGATATATAACTTCTGCTTTTATGTTTTGCTGTCAGTTTAATGCTTCTGCCCTCTTCTGTGCTTTCTGAAGTTGATTTTGGCTTTTGTACATTTTGGCCATTGTGTACATCACCCTGTCTTTTGCTGGGTAATTTTATTGTCTATAGGCAGAAATACCCATTGTTTTTCAGTTGATCCCTTAGATTTGCCTAGTGTGGAGTGATACACATGACCTTTGTCTTGAGATGGCAGGCAAAAGTTCCATTCTTCTGTGGAGCATTTTCCTTGAAAAATGATGTACAGAAATGTAAGAATTTTCCTACTTGTAGAAAAAGAAAACCTACAAGTCAGATTGTTTGGAATCTCAGTTTTAAAATGAGAAGTAGTAAGGAATAGCTATATAGCTCTCTCTTCTAAAAGCATACATCTATTCATATGCTTAATTTCTGAAAAACTATATATAAAAAACCCAAACAAAATCTTGTGTAAAAGACCATTGTATGAACTGTGTGGTTAGGTGTTAATTTCTTTAAATAAGTAATTTGATGCTGGTAATGATTTGTTTAGGCTTCCCTGAACTGGCATTCAGCTTTTTAGTTGTGCAGTGTAGCCCTAAGGTTACTTATTCCTTGGTAGGTCTTAGGTTTGGAACTTTTAATAAGCTGGGTTTTTCTGATGACTTGTAAGTGAACCACAATTACTTACTGACATTCTAAGGTATTTAAGAGCAAGTTTTTATAACTTAAAAATAAGTAATGATTTCATACAATAGGAAATCTTTTTAGTTTTTCCTTGTGGATTATACAGTTTCATTCTCAGGGCTGAATGTATATTGAATGTATGTGCTTCTGACACCTAGGTCATCACAAACCTAGTGAAAATGTTGAAATCTAGAGATACAAGGAGAAATTTCTGCCCACCAAATCACTGGCTCTCGGAACAAGAAAACATTAAAGCAGATAAGGTAAGAGTAATGTTCTTTTTCCACATAGCCTTACAAGTGCGATTGTTCCAGTGGTAAAGTATTTGATTCTTGACAGTATCAGTGATGTTTTATAGATTTAGTGTGGTTTAAGATCTGGAGTAATGCTGCTTATCTCTAATGTAAAACGCTTGCATCTGTTAAGAAACTTTTCTCTTAAACTGCATTTCCAGTCCATGAAGTAGAATGCACTCTGCAGTGCAGCAGTGTAAGTCATCTGCATTTGTAACGGGAGAATTGAAAATCTGGTAGCATTTTGTTGCATTTTATTTCCTAGTTATTTCAAGTACTTCTCATAACAAAAATGCTAAATAATAGAATTGCTCGGGGGGGGGGGGTAGATGCCCTCAAAAATCTCTTCCAAACCAAAAGAAAATTCAGTAGCATTTTCTGTACTTACCTCACATACAAATTACTTTTTGTTCCCTAAGAGCTTTTGAAAAAAATTATGTTGCGCTTAAAACGTGTGTGTGTGTGTGTGTGTGTGTGTGTGTGTGTATGTGTGCAAAAGAAAACACTAATGGGAATGTGCAAGTACATCTGTTGAGTCATTGACAGCTTGGGTCTTAAGGAACTAGTTACACTTCAGCTAGGCTACTTTGTACTGTTGGATTTCTTAACTAAGTTTTGCATGGAATAATTAACATTAACTCTTGTGTTTATTTTTGGTGATCACTTATTTGCTTGCTTTTTGTTTAGGATTTTCATCTCTGCGTGACAGGTCTTCATGAGTCTTAGAAAATAGTGCCTAGGCAGCTTATTGGAAGTAGTAGTGGTCTTAAACTGTGATGCTAACTAGTACAAAGTAAACAAAATTTGACACCTGAAAAATCAAACTCTGCTCTCTAATATCTTAAATACCAGAATTTAATGTAACATTATATGGTATTTTTAAATGATAACTGGACTTTATATTACATTGTTGTTAATTCTGCAGCTCAGCTTTAAAGATCAAATATAAGAAAGAGTGATTAGAAATGAAGATGTGTAGGCATACAGACATGCTCCTGAATGAGGCAACTTTGTGTATTTATATAATTTATTATGAAATGTTTATAGTAAAGGGTAATATGTAATTAGATAATGCTTAATTATAAAATACTGTTATCTGGTAGGTTACACAGTTGTATGTGCCATCTGCCAGACATGTCTGGAGAGTCAGAAGAATGGGAAGAATAGGACCGTTGCAGTCTACTTTGGATGGTAAGATACGGTCTATGCAGTTTTTGCTTTGCTAAGTCAAAATAACGTCCTGCCTTTTATAAAGCTTGGTTAAGTATTTTGTATAAAAGTCTTAATGATAGCCAAAAGCAAGGCAGTCTTTCATAGTTTTGTTTCATATATTAAAAAAAAAAGTATATTTGTATACACATGTATATAATTGTCTTTTAGAATATTCAAGTATTGGGTATAAGTTTTCCCCAAGCTTCTGCTTGCGTCGATGAGGGGAAATAATAAGATGAACAAGTTGTATGATAGAAGCATACATTTTAACATGTATAAAAGGCATTTGCATAAGATGCAAAATTAATAAAGTTGCAGAAGATGTAAAGCATTGAGGTTTTGCTTATACTGTATACTACAAAGAGATTTATTATATATTAAACTATAACAAACAAGCTGTAGGTACCATGATAAGTATTAATTACTGTTTATGAATACTGCCTCTAATTAGATGTCAGAAACTTAACCCCTTGAATTACTCAAAGTATCAGGACTTTATGGAACTTCCAAAGAAAAAATTAGAGAATGGCACCAACTTAGCAATCAGGGTAAATTTCCATTAGTTCAGTCATGTCATTGTGCTTTCTCATGTAGCCAGTCTGTTTCTTTCAGCTTTTCATACCTTTGTAGCTTCACTAGTCTAGAATTTTACCTTGCTATGCTCAGGTAAAATAATCATTAAATCACTAATACTTGTGAGATTTAATAATGAATTAGAAATGGGCCCTTTAAGCAGCAAAATGATTCATCTGTGAGGGTCCCTACTCTCTTTAAAGATGATGTAATCTGTTTGAGTATCTTAGCCAGGTACACTAGATCATTTAGAGACCAGAGTCTTTGGATGCTGATATAGAGTTGTACAGAATTAAGGGCTTTGTCCAAGGTTGAAATCAGAGGACTTCTTGTAATGATTTAGAAAAAAAAAAATAAAAGGTATGGTGGTCTAAATTTACCTTGATCACCTTCTCAATCTAGTTGCCAGATAACAACTAATTGTTCCAGTGTAAGTACTTCTCAGACTTTTGAATCAAGGTTTTTTTCAGTTTGGTTCCTCTCTTTAGAGCTCGCCTATTCTAAGTGATTGCTAATACAAAATCTTAAAAACAGGTGTTTTATCCAAAATTGCCAGGCTTCAACAGGCCTGTATTCTATCTTACAGACTACATCAGTGATCCCTATAATTTCCGGATTCTCCCCTATGCTACTCGTCCTTCCCCTCATATGTACAGTATCTTGAGCTCTCTACCTTGTCTTCCTTCCCATAATAGCACCAGTTCCCTCCATTTCATGAGTTGTCTTGATTGGAGCAGTTGGTGGATAATGAATGCAAGTGCCGTCGTTGGTGCAGAGCAGCTACATGCCCTCATTTTGTTGGCTGGCTGTCAGACAAGCTGACACACTGAACAGAGCAGATAGCTGAGCTCTCCTTGCTGCTTCTGTAATCAGGTCACTAAAGGAATTCCTCTTCTCTGTCTAGCTGAAAATGTTAACAAAATTTAGGGTTTTTGAACCTCTTATTCTCTGTCAAAGTTAAAATTCAGCTGGTTAGCTCAAAAGGTGTGTTGGTGAGGAGGGATGACACTTTGTTCATGTAAGCCTCATTTTCATACGAAATCAGGCTAAAAAAGGTACAGTTGACATGAATGTGTGAAAACAAGCAGGTAACAATATGCACATGACTCATTTAATCCCTCTTGACTCCATATGGGTTAAAGCCAATTAGCATGAAAGTACTGCTGAATCACATATGGTCATGTTTATTTGTGCTTTTTCATTTACTTAAATGGCAGACTTGTGAGTTCTAAATGCCCTCTGTATTGATGACTCCATCCCATATTTCTCTTTAAAGAAAGAAGCTGTGATGGAGAAATGCAGATAAAATTGACTAATTGACTGGAATAATTGAACTGTCGAAGTCATGTAGTAGTTTACCTTTGCTGTACATGCACTTTTTACTTAAAATGCTTTTAACTGTTAGCTTAATAGGCTGCATACATCGGCTTTAATTAAAAATGTTTACTAAGCAAACTAAGGGTAATCACAGATAAGCATTCTATCAGAAATTCCAAAGGCTTGCAATGTTGAAACCTGACCTGAATGAATATACATCAAGTATACTAATGTTTTGGGTCACGTCATCTTAAATTGTTGCTTAAAATATCCCTACTTAAAGTGCTTTGATGAGTAAAAGAAGAAAAGAACATTGAAGTGTTGTCCAGTTGCAGCAGTGCAGCAAGATGCTAGGCACCACAGGTAGGAAGGAGCCAAAAGAAAAACTTAAAACTGTTATCATAAATTTCCAGGCTGGGTAATAATATGGAGCATTTACTTCAGTTTTGTAACATGGGCTATGACTAGTCTAGACTGGAGTCTTTTTCTTTTTTTATAAGGTGACTATTAAACATGAAACAACTAAGGAGTTCTGGGTTTTGTTTCCTCTGTAGACTGAATCTAGGTGGGTCTTTAACCACAGTGTCTAATCAGTGGACAATTCCTTTTTGTTTTTGCTGCAGTTAATTTACAGTGAGATATGTGCTCAGCAGCTGAGTTTCTTCCCATGAAGTTAGAGCAGGATTGGCACTCTACTGTGCATCCCCCAAAGATGAATTGTTTCCTAAAAACATCTTCTGTGGTTAGAAGAAGGTTCAAAGGAACTGCATGATAGCTTGGGAAGTGCATGTGATTGAGTCTCTCTGTTTCTGGCACTGCTTCAGTTCTTCTCTAATCTTTTTTTTTTTTCCCCTAAGCACATTACACAGTTTCTTGATGTTCTCACTATTTCTGCAGGGGCTAGGATCTAATGTGGTCCACTGTGACCTTGCTGTTAGAAGAGAAAACTCATTGAAATGTTATCTTTGCGTTGGTTTCATTAGGTTTGGTTTAATTCCTTAGGCTTTATGCCTAAAACGATTTGATTGAAAGTAGACGTATTTGAAAGCACAATACCTTTAAACTGTTTTGGGCATTGGGATGGGGATACTGTGTATTCCTGCGATGAAAATTCTAATTGCTTACAACTTCTTAATTGTTTTCTATCATGTATTTTTCTTAATTTAAAAATTAAACTGTCAGTAACAAGAAAATAACATTTCCTCTGAATAAAATAAAAAATACAGGAGTACCTGTTTTTATACACATTTTATTTTCCATGTGTTTTCACTACTTATGTTTCAATTTGCTTATACAAACTAATGTTTAAAGAAAGGTAAAGCTGTGTGTGACTGTTCAGTAAACAAACTATTTTAACATACATGTATTTTTATACAGAGTAAATTGAGCCACTTGATAAAAAAAAAAAATGTTTTAAACAAATGTGCTTTCTAAAATTTTTAAAATTATTGTTTCTATTTTAAGTGGGGTTGGAGCCGGCACCTCTTTCTGTATCTGAAGAACGACAACTTGCAATTCTGACAGAGCTGCCTTTTGTAGTTCCGTTTGAAGAAAGAGTAAAGGTACCTAATTTCTAATTTAATATGCAATTGGTTTTCTAGTTTTATGTTTTCAGTAAGTGTAAAAAAAAAAAAAAAAAAGAAGGCACTCAGCTAAGTAGAAACTCACCCTAGTTAAGTTTATACTTACTAGGTGCTTTTCCCTACAGAAGGACGTGATAGGCCATGCTGTTTTTCTTCAGTACTCATATGGCAGTTGAACATTTGAAGTTACTTATCTCTTCTTTTACTAGTCATATTACCCTTTATAGTAACTGCATTAAAATTAGAAACACATATTCCAAGATACATGAGAGCAGTCGTATGTTCATAATAAACTGCAGTCCTGATTCAGTGATTGATCTACATGATTGCACCCTCTTGTGGTAAGCAGAGCACTAACTAGTTGTGTATCTGTAATAAACATTCCAAGGTCAAGACTGGACACCTTTGTGCAGTGGGTTGATTTACTTAGGATGAGATGATGGATGTCCATTTTGGGAAAATAGTGCCTAGAGATTAAATTTCTACATTAATAGCTGACTAGCTGAACTTTAATAGAGTATGTGATTTAAAACTTGCAAGATTCTTGTTGGATTTGCTTTTCAATGTTGTCTAGATTTTAAAGATGTAATTGTTCTATTACCTATTTTGGTTTGCATCATACTTTTTTAAAGCTCTTAATCTGTTACGCACTTTTTTTTTTTCCTGAACTGCTTTTCTGAACTGTTCAACAGTATCAGTTACTTAAAAACTGCTTGCTGATTGTCTTGGAAACACTAAGTTGCAAGGCACCCTCAAGGAATAGTTAATTCCATAGGGAAAGTAAATCAGTATTTGCCAAAAAAGACAGTGACAGATTTGATAGAAAAGGAGTGCTTTTCCAGGCTTATGAAACAGTTGTTCCCACAAAACATCCTAATATTGCGTGGGCAACTTTGCAGCAGGATAATAGGCAAATAGCTGAAAGTGACCTCAAGCAGGGATCTCTGTGTCATGATTTAGCCACTGTTTACAACCTCTGGGCTTCCTAAAGCTGTGTTGAGATTTATATATGTTAAGTTTCTGGAATTCATAAAACCTTGTTCTCTTTACTGTGAGAGTGACAGAGCACTGGAACAAGTTGTCCAGGGGGGTTGTGGAGTCTCCTACGTTGGAGATATTCAAGGCCCCCCTGGACAAGTTCCTGTGTGATGTACTCTAGGTTATCCTGCTCTTGCAGGAGGGTTGGACTAAATGATCTTTTGAGGTCCTTTCCAACCCTTAGGATTTTGTGATTCTGTGAATCACAAACCTTGGACAGGAATACATCACTCCAGACCATGTTGTCCAAGGCTCTGTCCACCCTGGCCTTGGACACTGCCAGGGATAGAGCCACTTCTTTGGGCAACCCGTTCCAGTGCCTCACCACCCTTACAGTAAATAATTTCTTCCTTGTATCTATCCTGAACATCCCCTATTTAAGTTTGAACCCCTTACCCCTTGTCCTATCCCTACAGTCTCTGATGAAGAGTCCTTCTCAGGCATCCTTCCGATATCTGTCAGATACTGGAAGGCTGCTATGAGGTCTCCATGCAGCTTTCTCTTCTCCAGGCTGAACAGCCCCAACTTTCTCAGCCTGTCTTCATACGGGAGGTGCTCCAGCCCCATTATCATCCTCATGGCCCTTCTCTGGACTTGCTTCAAGAGCTCCATGTCCTTCTTATGTTGAGGACTTGAGGACACCAGAACTGCACACAGTACTCCCAAGTGAAGTCTCACGAGGGCAGAGTAGAGGGGCAGGATCACCTCCTTCGACCTGCTGGTCACACTCCTCTTGATGCAGCCCAGAATATGGTTGGTTTTCTGGGCTGCGAATGGACACTGCCGGCTCATGTTACGTTTCTCATCGACCACCACCCCAAGTCCTTCTTTGCAGGGCTGCTCTGAATCTCTTCTCTGTCCAACCTGTAGCTCTGCCTGGAATTGCCTGGACCTTGCACTTGCCTTGGTTGAAGCTCATAAGGTTGGCATTGTCCCACCTCTCGAGCATGTCAAGGTCCCTCTGGATGGCATTTCTTCCCTCCAACATATCAGTTGAACCACACAGCTTGGTGTCATTGGTAAACTTGCTGAGGGTGCGCTCAGTCACACTGTCCGTGTCGCTGACAAAGATGTTGAATGGGATCAGTCCCAACACTGAGCCCTGAGGGTCACCACTCAGTGTCCAATTGGACATTCAGCCATTGACTGCAACTCTTTGCGAGCAACTGTCCAGACAGTTCTTTATCCACCGGGTGCCTTTGTCTGCTGTTGTCAGATTTTCCTCTTCCATGGTACATTTGTTGGTTTTAAACATCACTGGACGCACTTTCTTAGTCTTCTTAGTTAAGAAAGCAGCTTATGACATTGTTAGGAGATTACATCCCTTAGAAAATGTACTTGATTATTTATTGAATATTGGAAAGCAGCAAGAGAGGACAGACTTTGCATTGAGGGTATACTGAACATTATTAGGCATTGAGCAGCCCCATCCCATGCTAAATATTGACATAGAAATGCAGTTAGCCAGAGTTATTCTTCAGGTGAACTGTAGCAGGTTCCTGTTGTGAGGACTTGCAAAGGGAAAATATGAAGTTCAGTTTATACTTCAGCTTGCATTTTTTTGAATTGGTTCTTTGTTTAATATGGCAGTGCTATCCACTGTTTTGCTTTGAATTATTTGCTGACTCCTCCTCAGAGAACTGATACCTAGCTTCTTGTAACTAAGCCCTACAAAAAATTACCAGTTTTGAGGATTGCCTCTGTGTGTGCAGAATATTCATGTGAGTTTTTCCCTTTGTTTTTGAATACTTTGCATTTCAGAATTCTGAAAGTTAGGTAGAGGAAATTGTAATCACTGACACAGTGTTTGTAGATAGGCCTTTTTATGTAGAAAGAACTGAAGATGGTATCTTAGCACAAAAAAGTTCTTTGCATGTCTGTCCTCTCCCCTTCCCTGTGACATGGCTCTGTATTATATTTCTGCAGCTCAGTGAGAGAGAAGACAAATCACTTGAAAGTGAGTGCCCAGAAGCAACTCAAAGGACAGTAATGTAGCAAATAACCATCTCTTACTGAATATTTAGATCTGCATGATGGCATCATTTTTCTTTTCATTTATTTTAACAGATTTTTCAAAGACTGATCTATGCTGATAAGCAAGAAGTTCAAGGAGATGGGCCATTTTTGGATGGAATTAATGTCACTATAAGGAGAAACTATATTTATGAAGATGCTTATGATAAACTTTCTCCTGAAAATGGTAGGTTTACAGTTAAGTTGTTGGCGTGTTTCTAACATTTAACCATTCTTACCACGTAGTTACTACTTGATTACTTGAGTAGGATATTAAAAGTGTATCAGCTCTAAGGTGTGAAAATTCTTAAAAACTTCCTCAATTTTTACAATAAAGTTACTCTCATCCACATTCTTTTTTGATTATTGCAGTCTCAGTCTCTTGTGCACACCCTTCCTTAGTTCAAACCTACATTTATGGGGCTTTTCTTCCCACTTACTTGCCAATAAAGCTGCACTTTCTGTATTTATCTGTATAGTTTATTAGATACTATCTGCTTTGGTAATCTGTGTCAACAAATATATCTAGACTGCACAGGATTTGCTAGGTACAGTGTGGCTGATAAGGTTAATGCAGCATGCTTTGATAGTATGGTGAAGTATTATTTTACCCCATTGATTCAAGTCATAACGTTAGTGTGATTTTGTGTGAGAGTGGCTACTCTAGAAACCAAAATTCCAGTATAGATAAAACCTGTCAAAATAAAGTCCTTATTCTGTATGGTATTTTTGCATATAAAAAGAATATTTGCTGTATACTTGAGGTTTGCCATATGAATTTCACCTGCTGTGCCACGTAAGTTCCCTCCTGGAGAACCACTTAGTTTAGAGAGGAGGAAGTATTGTTGATATTCTTGGTTTGTATAAAATTACTAGAGAACATACTTAATTTCCTTTACTCTGGAATTGGAAAATAGAAAAAGTTGAGTCTGTTTTGTGTTGCTCTTTCCTCCCTCCCTAAATACATGAAAATACAATAAAGAAACTGCAGTTGAATAATGCAATGTGATGTAACAGACAGGCCAACCTATTTGTTTAATAAGGTATCTTTAACTGAGAAGCACATTCTTTATGAAGACTACATTTCACCCTCTTGTAGCTTTATTAAATTAGTAAAGAGTTTTAGAATGCATGTTTCCTAAGCTTAACATACAGTCTGACAAGCTGGGTACTGGGATGTATTCCACCATTAGTGAGGTTGCCAGCAATATGAAATTGAGGGGAATAGTCAGTATACTGAAAGATCAGGTTGTCACTCAGGTGGCCCTCAACAGTGTGAATTAAGAGGCTTACAGAAACCTCATAAAGCTTAGGAAATACCAAATCCTGTAACTGTAGCAGTACTGACTGAGCACTGACTGACTAAAAAGTGTTTCTTTCAATAAAGGACTGTGGGGTTCATAGTGGACAACAGGTTGAACAAATAAAGAGTTCCCCTTGGTGAGATGAAAGCTAACTGCATACTGGGCCATATTAACAAGAATGTAACTCACCATTTCAGCACTTATAAACTGCGTATGACTTTGGGCTTCCCAGTATGATTTCAAGACTATAGAATGAATCGACTAAAATCAGTCTAGGAGATTGAACAGAGGATAGATGATGTTCTAGAACTGATGAGGAGAGAGCGAAGCAGACTAATATGGAAGAGGCCTCCAGTTTGTTTACTGGCCCTGAGAAGACAGCTGTTCAAAGTTAATGTTTCTGTAGTACCTTAACTGAGATAATTAACTTTATTAAGAAAACAAGATTAGAGTAGCAGAAATTTATTAGGCTGATTCTCGTGGGTTTATATTTTTACGTGGTTGTCATATGCTTAAAAATGTGCAAGCATTTATAATTTTTATTCCTGTGACTGTACTTTCGGAATATTCCACAATAGCCTCCAGTGGACTCCAGTAACAGTTCAGTTACATTCTAGTTACGGGTAACGAAACTGAGCTCACCTTTTCAGAGCTTACACTAACTTGGAGTCCACCTCTACCTGATCCCCTGTTTTGACATGTGAATTGGTTTTAGGACCAGTCTTCCCTCCTTGCTATAAATCTGGTTGTCAGTACGTAGAGGAAGAGGCAAATAATTTTCTTCATAGGACCCCAAAACGCACTGAACCAACATTTGCCATATATAAAAGTTTTAACATCAGTGCTCTGTATCTCAGGAGTCTCAAGACAAAGAGTGCCTGTATGCTTTAGAGTCTCTTTTGCCAGTGGTCTATTTTTTTGTTTTGAATGGTGATGAGTATTGAGTGAACCTGTTGCAGTGCCTATGGCTAAAAATGGCCATTTGCTATTTCCAGCAAGCAGAATTTTTGTGCAGGAGAGCATTTAACTTGATGAAATACTAATAGCTAACTTAAAAATAGAGAAGTGTGAAACTGGAAATTACTAGCAGATGTAGAGACATTTTCTAATGGGAGAAAGACACTTGGTGGTTCAGGAGAAATCCTGTTGCTACAATGTGCTGAAGATTCCCCTGTAAGCATCAGCTGGCCACCCATAATGTATGCATTTGTAGCACATGGAAGCAGTAGAAAGTTTTACTGCTACTGGTTTATTACTGATTGCTTTGGTGGGATGCAAGTGGGGTTAATGCAAGGGTTTGCATAAAAGTTATGTATTTGGTTAGATCTTGGGAAGCCTTCATGAATTGAGAAAAAAGGACCTTCTTCCTTGTTATGTATACTCAGTTCAACAATTAAATACCGCTTCTTTCTCAAGCAGCAGCATTCTATGAAACACGTGGAACACCTGCCTTCATAACATGTCAATCTTTACCCCACCTTGCTCACTGGAATTACACGACATAGCAATGGGTCCAAAGTATCAAAAATATTGTGTTTAATTTCAAATACTGTAATGGTGTAGTGTAACAATCAGCCCCTCTAAGGGAATGCAAAGTTTATTGACGGTCCCTTCAGACGGGAGAAAGTTGAGCCTTGAATTCACAATATTTTATATTTTAATATTTTATATATGTTTTCAAATTATTCTTTGTTCTCTTTAAAATATTCTGTGGGGTTTTTTTTCCTTCCCCTACCAAGTGTCTTTCCAGTCCGTCTTTTGTTGGCTCTTAAAGCAAGGTCCTTTGTACAAAGTGAGTTTCACCTACTGAATTTGCCAAAATTCAAGCCAGTAATAGGTTTTTGCTACTACTTACTAGTTCAATTTTTATATAAAGTTTGTGTAGATATGTTTGTATGTGTAGCTACGTGTGTTTTTATCCAAACAAAATTCAAGCAGGTAGTTGTATTTGAGTCTGTGTCTCTCCTTTCTTTGCAGAACCTGACTTAAAAAAGCGCATTCGTGTTCACTTACTTAATGCACATGGTCTTGATGAAGCTGGTATTGATGGTGGTGGCATTTTCAGAGAATTCCTGAATGAACTACTTAAATCAGGATTTAACCCCAACCAGGGATTTTTTAAGACCACCAATGAGGGACTTCTTTACCCCAACCCTGCTGCGCAGATGCTCGTTGGAGATTCTTACGCCCGACATTACTACTTTCTTGGAAGAATGCTTGGAAAGGTAAAACTAGTATTGCACAATATAAAGCTGTAGCAGTACTGGAATTATTCAGTTATGTTTTCTTTTTAGATAGGGGTGGATGGGAAAAAATGACGTGTTTTTCTAGTTGAGGAAAAATAACTTACATATGTTGGATCTGGACATTATTTGTACGTATCACCCAAATTTCTGGTTCATTTTAGTAAGCTACATACTTGAGTAATACAAGAGAATTAGAGATACTGTGACTGCCAGCTGAGCAAAGTGTGCATATCTCTGCTCCTCTGTTTAGCCTCTTGCTTAAAGCTGTTAATTAAAGCCAATAGAACTGCTCTGTTTATGGGGATTTTTAACTTGGAGCTTTCTGGAATTTGATTGCAGTTATGTTTTCATCATTTGGAATACAGGAAATGAATATTTTCAGAAACAGTTTCTAGTTGTATGAGGTGCACAGTTCTTGCTAGTATTTAAAATTTTCTGTGAGCATTTACCATACTTTAATGCCATATGCAAATTATCTTTCACTTACTCTTCTTGGCGTTTTTTGTGTGTTTTGCATCTTGATATTTTGGTGGTTTGAATATTCAAAGACTAGTATACGCTTGTTGAGCATGATGATAAATGAAGTGGCAGGGAGAAAAAAACCCCGACATTATAAACATCCATTACATTCAATTTTCTTTTATGGTCAGGTTTAGTACTGAGGCACTTTCCTTCTGAGTCCTTGAAATAATTTTTGTAAAGCTAATAATTGTGGGACAAAGTTTGGAATACAAATTCAGGAAAAAAATGTATTGATTGCTACTTAGCTATCTAAACCTGAAGTTATTTAAGATGTAGAAGTCCCATTTAACTACCTCAAGTGTTTTGGAGGCTAAAATCCTGCTGGCTTGCAATGAGATTTAACATACAGTTGGATGTACTTTTAGTGTAGCTGGAAGTGGTTTAAGAGGATGTTGTTGGCAACCTTGAGTTGCTGAAACAGAGTGCTCTTCTTTGAAGTTGCCAGTCAACTGATTGAGATTAAACTGCCACTTTGTAGGCAAATTCCCTGCTAATGCATCCTATTTCAATATACAAACTTGTTAAATAATGAAAATTTCAAATCAACCATTTCAGTAAGATAATGTAATCTCTGAAGGATGGTCCTGCTCTTAATGAGAGATGGATTCATTACTAATACAATGGTTTGTAATTATGACCTATGTTACGTATCCAAGGCTTCATTTTCTTTCTGCATCTTATAGATTTTTGGATCAGGGAAGCAAATACTGCTGTGGTATTGTGAGGAAGTTACTTCACTTAAAAATGTTTAATGTTTATCTAAGGAATAGGGTAGGGCTCAACTGTTGAAATACTATTTTTAAAAAAACTGTAATTCTGAGTCTTTAATTTCCTCTGTTGAAACAACACATTGCCTTCTGTAATTTGATTTCAAATACTAGCATAAAGACAGAAGTTGCAAAATAGGTTTTATCTCCCATAGAGTGCTACAAGTATAGTTTCGGTTTTGTCTTTTTAAAATCAGAAGATCTATTATTTAACATTTTGAAAACATAAATTGTTTTTGTATTTGCAGTATGTTTACATAAGGTAAGAATTGACAGTGTTACTTAATAATTACCCCTACCCAGGTGCACAGACACCTTTTTAGTAGTGTATTTAGAGACTTGATGAATTAAACAGAAAGATAAGGCACGACCATGATATTCATAACCTGCCGGTATTGTGATCTTAGTTAAGTTATTGAATACTCACTCATCCGTTTTCAAAAATGTGTCCATTTGATGCTTTGCACAGGGTTATTTGAGAGCGATAGTGGATTATTAAAAGCCCCTTTGTAAACAAAATAGATCTAATGCAAAGGAAGCGATCAGGCATCCACAGCAATTTCTTATTTGTGGAAACCAGTATGTAAAGAGTGCTGCCACCAAAAACTCTCACATAAGAAGTTTCAGTGTTATCAGAAAACAAATACATTAAAATATAATAATTTATAGAAACTCTTTGTCTCTTGGAAACCGTTTCATACTAATACCCAAATGCATTTAACTTTCAGTACCATAGATTTATACCTAATTCAGTTTTCCTTCCCATCAGGAATTTTCTGACAGCTTGACATCTTCTGTGTTAATAGATCAGTTCAGAAGCAGAAATATCTGAAAATTTAAAACTTGCCTTTAAAAATGGTGTATCTGAAAAATTATTTTAACCCTAGATAAATTATTGACAATGTGGGGTGTATTTTTTGTAGTTACTGAAGAAGTTGTAATCTATGTAAGTGTATAAACTGCATGGCTGTCCATGCAACTTTTACTTATCACTGAATGAGCTGAAGGTTTTGTAGAAATAATACCATGTGAGCATGTAATTGCTTATGTTGTCTGAAATAATTCATTAAAAAAAGGGGGGGGGGGAGGGGGGCAGAAATGAGTTTGCTTAAACAACAGCTACTCAAACACTTCCAAAGTTTACATTTCTCAACTTTCAGTGACTTAACTCTGTAATGTAAATATTATTTTAACAGCGGTGCCTTTTAAGCTTTTTCCTTTCTCTTCCTTAAATGTGAAAGCTCAGCTTACCGTGCACTCCTCTGGAAGCAGTCTCCAACTACTGCGGGGTTTGCAACTTGAACTTGCCAGTTTCACCCACTGGAAGCATAGCAGTGATTTCTGAGTTCCAGGCTTCGCCTGAGAGCTGAGGGTGCCCTGGGTTGTCTGGGATGTTCACACAGAGGTGTTCCAGCCCCAGATCATCTTTGTTATCCTCTCTGGAAAGTAAGGTCTAGTCATTCTGTGTGGTGCCATAGAAGTATGGGTGGGCTGTCGTAATTCTTTTGTTCTCTCAGTAGGTGGGATTGGGCTGTGGGGAGGCACATGATTTGGTTTAACATCCTTTCCACATGCAGTAGTTGTTCCGGCAGCGCTGAAAGTCTTTCAGTGTGCAGACTTCCTTGCTGCAGCCTTCCAGGGTAGTAGACGGCTCAGGAGAACACAAAAGTTGCTATTTTGACAGGCTGCCAAAACTTCAAGCAGCATAGGCAGAGAAGGGAAGTTTGGAAGCAACACCTGGGAATCTTAAAAGGATTTCCTCCATTCTGATTCTTGAATGGCCTGCTGAAAATCTGGAAGGGTTGAAATGCCTGTTAACCATTTCAGCAGAAACAGTGATCAGCAGAACAGTGACAGATACAGTATTAAAATCTGAATTTCACTGTTCAAATCTCAACTCAGTCTTGGATGCCGTTACTATCTTTCTCCATTTCCAGTTCACATTTGCATTTATTCAATGATGTTAATGTGGCAGATGCTGCGGAAAAGGATGTTCTTCACATTTTGAATTGCTTGACATCAAGTAGCTAATTCTTTTGACAATTTACTTAAATTTCATGAAGTATCAGCATTAGTTTAAGAATGTGGCAGGAAGTCTAAAGAAAGCTCAGAATGATAATTTTTACGGTTTCCTCTTCCTTTTTGACATAAACCTGCTAGTTTTTGCATATAATATGTTTTGCAATAATTGTCTTTGCACATTTGACAAACTGACTGTGACGCCCAGTGATTTTTCCCTAATACATCCAGGATCTTTGCTTATACTGAATGCTACCATCTCCATTTCTCTTCTCTTATTCGAGCATATTGAAGAGCATTAGTGAGTCATGCATAGATGTTGCTGAAGAACATACGCAGTATCTTTGAAATGTAATTTGAAGTCTCTTTTATAAGCAATAGAATCTGCACTCCTTGGAAGGCATTGGGAGTTTTCTGAAGAGATTTAGATTTTTTTTCCCAAGACTTAGCTTTTGTCTTAAATGGTTGGAAAGGCAGTATAAAGAGCAGAATGTGTTTTGAAATGAGTTCTTCCTTTGTGGACCCAGATAGAAGAAGCAGCAAGGTCCGAGTAAACCGTGTTTGAAATTTTATCATTGTTTTGATGATGGATAGAAGAGGTAATCTAGGTTTAATCTTTGATCATTAATTTGTGTGGCCTGGTGGATATTATATTGATGAAGGTTTAACTTGTTTACTTGCATATGACATTTTATAGCTTACTGTACTGATTTAAGATACAATGGACTGTTCTCTGTAGATATTTAAATGTTGTTAAACACATGACTGAAAAAAGTTGTATGTCTTTTGGTAAAATTAAGCATTTGAAGGGTAATAGTAGATCAAATACAAATTTTATTACCCTATAGTAAATGTGGGGCCATTAATTATTGCTAAGATTATTTTTCTATATCTTAAGTGTGTCCTCTGGTTACTGTTTGTAACTCTGAATAGAGCTGTGATCATTTGTTGTGCAATATATGATTCCTCTTTGGAAGGTGTAATCCTAAGATTAGCAGTGTCCACAGTATACATTTTGCAGAGAAACTACAATAGTACTCGATCATCCTTGGGCCTTATCTAAAACAGATTTAATCAATGGGAGTCTTTTTACAGCAAGATCTGGATCAGATCCTAAACTCTTGAATCATGAATAAGCTGCACATATAGAGTCAAAACCTTCAAGCAAATATTTCTGGTTATATATATTTGTGTGCCCTTTTTGTGCCAAAAGCTTGTAGGGAGAAAATAAAACAAGAAAATTTTGCAATGAGAAGAATTGGGTTTTGTATACTTGAATATTTCATAGCATGCTGCGTCAAGCATTGTGCTGCTATTTGTCCTTTGTTTCTCTGATTGTTGAAGGGTGGCTTTTTTTCTTCTTCTGATTTTTAGGCTACCCTTTCCTTTTGCTTACTGCCCAATTAATTAAGATCCACTTTGGTTTGGCTTAAATGAGTATACTCTTAATTGATTAGTACTGCAGCCACAACTCATACTGCTAGTGTCTGGAAAGATAGGTATGGAATTAGTGATACTGACACAAGGAGGAGGTAATTTGTATAAACTTTTTATTTTATTAATTTTAGTAACCCTGTACATGATTTTGTAGACTCAGCATTTTGCTTAAAAGCAAGTTATGTGATGATCATTTGTCTCAGAAAATCCTGAATCGTCTGAAAATGGAATCAGACCAGAAATTTAGCATGTAAAGTGGCATGCTCTTATATGTTTACAATGGAGAAACACAATTGTAAGAGCAAAATTGATACCTTATGGAAGTTTTTTCATGATTTATGAATGTAGATGTAAACTAATCTGAATCTATTTTCTGACATGGTTGTTCAGCTTGACAATTCCTTTGTGTACAGGTTCATTTAACATAACCAATTATGTTTTGATTGCAAATAGCTATGTTAGTAGCAACCTTGTAAACACATGTCTAGTACTAAAAGACTACTGAAATGTGGTATTTTAACTCTAAATCTTTAGGAAAGAAAAGTGTGTATTGATGGATTGTGATATTTATTGGGTCATAATGTATTTAAATTTTCTTTAATGCATATGTTAGTGATTGTTTACCCTGATGAAGTGCATAGAGGTCTCTGCAAGGAGTTCTGCATGGAAAGAATTACCTCATGTCAGTGGTCACTCCTCAATTAAAAGTTCCATTAGCAGATGATTCCTGCTTCTGGTTTGTGTACTGATTGCATTTTATTGCCTCTAAATCAGGTTCCTAGACAGGGAATAAATAAACAGTGTGTGTGGTAATGGTATCCTGATCCTTTTTCACAGTTGGGAACACCTACATCCATTTCAATCAATTAGGTTTGGAATATTTACTGAAATTCTTTATTCTACTTGAATGGTCTTTAAAAATGACGAATTTCACTGCTGTTAAAATACAGATTTATCTTAGAAGCAGCTCCATCTTTTATCTTCAGCTCTTACTAAATTACATTTAAATTTGAGACAAGAAAATCTATTACGCCTTTACTGGAACTTCAGCAGTGAATGGTAACTTTGTTATCCAGTGCATCCACAGGTAGCTCTTGTCCTTCTCTCTCCCATCCCTCAAAACCCCCCCAAATGATGTTGACAGCAATTTATATCTTACACATGGTGAAAGTTAGAATTGTTCCTATTAAAACAGAAAGTAAGTACCAAGCTGATGAAATGGTGGTTTTCTGCAAGGACTGACATTTCTGGAGCACTATATTCTGGTAGTAAAAAATTCTGTAATAAAATTACATATGTCCTAAATTCTTAGAGTAAAAGTGCGAGCATGACTTTACATTTTTAAATTAAAAATTAAGTCAAGGTCATTATACGTGATATATTTCAATGGAGTCTTTGGAAATGAATTCCTACATTGTTATGATAATGTGTTCATGAGTCAGTTGTGAGTTTGCTTTATGCTTATCATGCACCTGCAGTCCATTTCGGGTATTTACACTGACTGCAGCAAATTTGTCAGGCGGGCCTTTTGTATCTGAGTCTTGCTACCCCACGTCTCTGGAACTTCGATGGGCTTGTACTTACCGACCTTCCAATTCCCAGTAGGTGGGGAGTCGGAAGTAAAACCGGCTTACAAAAGGCTTTATTTTTTGGGAGGCGGGGAAATGAATAAATGTGAAGATACTAGCACTGCTACAAGGGATGTTAATAGGGCTCCCTCAGAAGCCTTAATCACAAGCATCTAGCTGTGGAATTTTGGACTCCTGCTTTTTTAAAAGACAGAAAAGGTATCCATTATTTGAACAAAAAGTTCTGGATAAATTTTTACAGTTGAATAGGGAAGATAATGTATCAGATTTTTCCATTACTATGGTGATAGAAATGCATCTAGATATCTCTGCTAATATATTGCTCTGAGAACTGAGAAACAGTAACTTAAAGCTACCAGGCAGTAGATGTACTCTGCATTGTGACACACACTTGATAGAATTACGTTTGTTTTACCATACTGGCATTAGTATCAGTTTGTTTTTCCTCACTTTAAAGAACACGAAATATATCTGTAAGAAATTACTTTATCTTATACTAAATGCTAGCTTTAAAAATGCTTCAAAAATACAAATACATGTTAATTTTAATGTAATATATTTTTTGCTTTATCTTTTTCATTGTGGTAGAAAAGGCTTTGCTGCCCCAAAAGCTTTGTGAGTGTGATGAGATATTTCTAGGGTATAAATAATAAGGTAGAAGGAAGTTCTAATGGTTTTGCTATTTTTCTATCATTTTTATTAATGGTTCTGTACAGCTTTGAAGATCTATTGCACTCTGTAAGTGCTAAGTATTATTTAATAGTATCTGTTTAAAATGACTGAAATTGAAAGGGTTATGGTCTTGGGGGCTGATTAGGGAAATAACTGAATTTAAGCCCAGTTGTTTACTGCCTCAGCCCAGGCAGTACTGTGTGTCTTTCTCGGGGTATGACTTTAGCATTGTTTATGTTTTAAAATACAGTTCTGGGTTGTAAAGGATTAATGGAAAGTAGGAGCAATGACTGATTAATTATTTTTCTTGAGAGATTTTAGTTAAAATAATAAATGAGAGAATTAATTGTAGACCTGAAAATGTAAGTGTAGGCACAAAAGCTGCCTAACGGTCAGGGAAGTTTAGTTGGTTCATCTGTGAATTTGTTTACACAGTTTGAACTTTATTCAACATGTTGTAATGCTCATGAAACCTCTCCTCTATATAGCTAATTTGTCTGCAGTGACTAGACTGGCTTTAATTTTGTCATTTTAAAATGTGGCAGAAAGTCTTCTCTTTCTGAAGAGCTGTTTCCTAAATGTGGGGATCATACCTGAACAATACCTTGTGTGACCATGTAGTGCTTATATAATTTTGTGATAGTTACCCTGTGTAGTCCCAGTGAGATATTTACTTGCATTATTTTGAAAACAAGAAAAAAAAACCTCCTTCTCCAGAGAACTGTAAGTTTTCTTCCTTTCTTACTATGTACTGTGTACAGTTGTCCTTCCAGCTGAGATCTTTTTTCCATAATATATTAAAGTTACTGATTGCCAGTCTATATTCTGAAAGTTGCCTGCCTTAAAGAACCGTTCCTTGTGCCCCACATCACAGGTGTTTAATGAATGCATTCAGTATATCTAAGTAGATGAGCATATTTTCTCTTTAGATGACCCAGCTGTGGTCTGCATCATGGAGTAGAGGCTTTTGTAGCTAGTCCATGTTGCCATCAATTATAATTGAACTGTACTGTAATCGCAAGTAGCTAATATTATTTAAAAGAGAAACAGTAGACTCCAGACTGTGTTTTGTGTGTGAAGTCAAAAAACTGTTAACCGCAGTAGGTCTTCTGTTATTTTGCTTGTTTTTAATATACTGGTGTGTTCTCCAGGCATTCAGACACAGAGTGAGAGGGAGGTGCATGAGGTTATTTTTACTGAATATTACTTCTTCCATAGTGAAGTAATTTCTCTTGGCCTTTTAACCAGGAAAAACTTCTTTTAACTGTTTACTAAAAAAAAAAAAACAAAACAAACAAAACCCCCAAATGCTAAAAAAAAAGAAAAGGCTAGCAAATATCTTGAGATAATTGGACAACACTGGGGTGAAGAGTAGCCAAAGTAATTTGTTTGAAAAGCTAGACTTGTTTGCCTTTTTTTGTTTGTTTCAGAAGCTTTTAACTTGCTTTAATGGTTATCTAGAGATGTCGTAATTTTGCCTAAAGAGCATCCTGTAGGCATTTGAAATGGTGCTGGGAAATTCAGGTTGGCCCTTTCAGCAGGCTTAATCTTTTAGCTACTGAGAATGCATCACCCTATGAGCATTATAGTTCTTGTGGCTTGTGTGAATGCCCTTGATGTAGACATCCCTGTCTCTGCTTCAGACTGGTCTCTTGCTCCAAGCTTGCATCTCCAGATTGTGTTTCCATGGAAGTGAAATCCTAATACTCCCAGCTTTTTGAGGAGGCAGAGGTATACTAGACTCTATTAAGGTGTTTGTTGTGTTGTGTGTCATCCTTTGCCCTCCCCTTCCCACCCGGTGTTAGAAATTAGAAATTGAATGTCATGTTTGACCACCAACTGCTTCTTTCATGACTTCCTATCTACATTTTTTGCTTTACATAAATAGCAGTTTATGGGACTGCAGGATAGTAGACAGTGAAGTCAAGGGGCTCGTTAGATAGGAAAGCTGGAAACATGAACTCTGAGAATTCATCACATAAAATGGTATTGGGCCCATTGGTGATGACCACAGGAGTTAAAAGGCTCACCAAAGCGTAAGAGTACTTGAAATTTGAGGTTAGTTTTAAAATATGTATTGGTTAAACTTGCTGACTTTAATCCCTTGAAGCAGTGTATGAACAGGAACTTCAGACTTGGTCAAACAGAAAGAAGTAGCCTCCCTCCCAAGAACAAGCCAGTTTCTTTCTTCACTGTTGTTACTCACTGGCTGCTGGAGGAAAACAGAGGACTGCTTCTGTGGGGAGAACATGACCTTGTATTATGTTAAAGTACATACATAAGTATATTCTGATGGTGCAGCTTCATATGGCAGCTAATTAATCTGACAGTTACTTCTGTAAGAGGTGGTCACTATTCTCTTGCCTGTCACCAGTGCTGGGCTCCTGCCTCCTTTATGCTGATGTTGCAGAAGGGTGGTTCAGAGAGGTCAGTGGACAGAAAACTAAGTTTAAAATCAGGTAGTTTAACAGCTCCCCAAGACAAATCATAAGAGGAAAGAAAGAAGGAGTGACTCCTCCTTTTGGTCGTTAGATCAACGGAGTAAGAATAGTACTCATTATGGTTCAATTCCTTGGGGAACTGGCTGCTCTGAGGTTTGTGAAACAAATGGCATTGCTGTTCTACCCAGTTACAGCTGTAGCTGTGAGCTGAATCAGATTCTGACTTGAAAGAAAGCTCAGCTTCAAACATGCTGTGTCCACCAACATTCACCACACCCTGCCCAAACCCAAGACTCAACACCCCAGACAAAGCATGACCCAAATCATCTGAAAATTCATAACCTTATTCAGCATGTTGTAATGTAACCAATGTGCGTAACCATTACTATATGACTACTCCACTTGCAAACAAACCCAGTTGAATCAGCAACCTAATTTGTTTCATTACTCTGTCAGGAATGGGTGGAATCACATCTTCTAGCAGCAACAGGTAATTTAATTAGTTTATGCTGACTGAGATACAGGGAAGTTGGATGGAAACTGAAAAATAAAGTTTTGGTTTGTTTACTCGTGTTCAGTTGTACACGGTATTTCTCTGCATCTCTGTGCAGGGCTGGAGCTGTAATGGTATCTTTTACTTCTTTGAAACAAACCCGAAGTTTACCATGATTTTATTTACCAGAGTTTTAGTGCATTTTTTAATCAAACTTTATTAGGATAGCTTGACTTGGAAACTAATTAAAGGATTACTGTTCATCTTGTTTCAAAAAATTACTTTCGTAATATTGCAATCACTTAGCTAAGTGAAGGAGTAATTAAAGTTATTCTCAAGTTGCACAATTTAGTTTATTTAAAAATGCTTTATATAGTTTTTAGATGAAGTTATAAATGTTCACTTTGGAACTACCTGAAGATGAATAGTGATGCATTGGAAATGCATTATTTTTTTATTGATTCTTAATGTAGTAAATTACTGAAGTTATTTGGCAGCAAACAGAAGTAGCCAGTGATGTTGTTCACATTTATTTTCCTGATAGCATCACAATTTGCATTAATTGCATTGCAGCTGCACTCACTTATATTAAAAAGCTTCTACTATAATTAATCCTTTTTATTTCAAATCATTTTGGCACAATTTCTAGCAATAAACACTCATAAAAGACAGACACTTGAAAAATAACATACAAGTTTCTTCAATATACCTATTGCTGTTTTTTCCTGACAAGGAATTATTGATAGGCTTCTAGGATCAAGTGTTGCAAGTGGCTGAGACTTAAGATCAGCTTGAAAAATGCTAAGTGGATTATTTTACATAAAAAATAGACAGGTTTTGAATTTGTGTAATTAACCTGTGTTTAGAAAATACCTTGATTTATGTCTACTTTTGTATTTCAGTTGCATACATTATGGAAATTTAATTTATAATCCATTTAGCTGATGTGATCATAGTTTTTAGTGCTATCATTTATTAGTCCTTGTATATTAAATGCTCTAAAGGCTTAAACCTGCCTTGTGTAAAAAATTACACCTCTACATTTACATTTTATGAGTCATAGATGGAATTCCATTTTAAATTCGGGTAGCTTTGATATATTTAAGGAATTACAATGGCTTTATTGTTACTAATGCAGGAACAGCAAACACTGACCTTATACATTGCAAATTAATGATTTATCCCTTTAGTTTGCTTTTAAAGTCAAGTATACAAATGAGGATTTTGACTTCTACACCTTGAATAAATCATACAGCTCTAAATATAATGCACCCTTTGGCTTTGAACTCGTTATTCTGAGTTCTTTCTGGAAGGTCTAACTCACCTCACAGAAATGTTCTTTCAAAAGTTTAAGGAATTGTGTATATTTTTCTTAACGTCTTTGTTGGAATATCATTGAATGATTATAGCTACATTTTTTCATCTTTTTTCCTTTTTTTGCCTCATTGTGCTTCCTTTTCTAAGTATGCAGCAGATTATGGGGGAATTAAGTAATGCCAAAGCGCTGCTCTTAAAGAGTAAAAAGAGAACAAACAATAATGCTGTGTTGATGTCTTTTCTGATCAGCCTGGCAGTGATATTAATGACAGTATAAAGATTTGGTTGTCGTTAGAGATGCTGATGTGGCAAACAGATTGGACAATGGGAAAGGCTATGCAAAGGCACCATGTTTCAGGAATGTTTTTTTAAAGGCAACAGTCTTTTGGTTTTCCTTTATTCATGTAGGTTCTCTCTAAATTATGGTATGCTTTCTCTCTTGAGCTCAGAAGTTTCCATCTCTCCTTTTGAGAGCTACCATAAATAAGTACTGATGGGAAAGAAACAACAAGAAGTTCTTATATGAAAAAATACACAAAGTTGCTCTGCATTGTATGGAAATGTGGTCAAATAGCAGATAACTGAGAGTAGAATTGCTGGAGTTTCGTGCATTTTTCAAAATTCTTGGGGAAACTCTCAGTTTACAGTAAAAATACATTTTTCGTGAGTCCTGCATATTTGAGTCAGGCTCATTTTTGGTTCAGTAATCCTTTGAAGGTCAAAACAGTGCCAGGTGTAGGAGGGATTGGACATATGGTACAGTCATAACTGGTAGGCTCTTGGCTTAGAAAATTAGGGTGGTTTGATGCCATTAAGCAGCAGAATTCACCAAAAATATGCAGTGATGGATCTGTACAACATGCAAGAGAAATAATGTATTTGGATTAGTTTAGAATGTACTGTTTTTTACGTAGTTAATTTTACTGGACAGACAATTTTACATGTATCATGAATGGGAAAATATTGTTTGTGACGATGCTAATGCAGGTAGAAATGCTAAATATTTTTGGAAGACATTCTGATGCATTTGCATTGTCCTTTAGTAAACTTGGCTTTTCTTGCCAGTCTGTGCAATTGATAACACTTCCTGTTTGCTCTCATACTTAGGACAAGAAGATTAATGACAGATAAGTGGTGACCTTTTTAAATCACCACATAATTAGTTTGTAAAATGTGGGACTTGGTATTTCACAAGAATATCCAAATTTCAAACTTCAGATGAATGTTTTTAAATTTTTGCAATACATGGGCTAGTGCCATACCAGAAGATCGTATTCAGCCACTGAATTAAGGAGTTACCAAAAGGTTGAGAAATAGACAACAGCGTTCAGAATTCTTACATCTACAAAAGTAAAATCTAATGTGCTTTGAATTGCTTTGTTTTTCAGGCTCTTTATGAAAATATGCTGGTGGAGCTGCCATTTGCTAGTTTTTTCCTCTCAAAATTGCTGGGGACAAGTGCTGATGTTGACATTCATCATTTAGCTTCATTAGATCCAGAAATGTATAAAAATTTGCTTTTTCTCAAGAGCTATGAAGGGGATGTGGAAGAACTTGGACTGAACTTCACTGTGGTAAATAATGACCTTGGGGAAGCACAGGTAAGAATGGCTTTAGCTCTGTTTTTTTTTTCCTGTTATGTATGACTGATGAGTCGTTACTACCCCCACTAAGTCATTCTTTAAAAGTGATAGGAAACAACTGCTAAAGGTGCTGTGTATTGTGTGGCATCATAGGGATTCTGGCTCAATATTTCAAGTATTGAAAGTAGATATAAGTAGCCAATAACTAATCGAGTACTTGAAAAAACTTTTGATGATGACTTTGAAGTCTGGTCTTTTAAATAGTTAACTATAGTGATTATTTTCTAACAATCATACATGAAAACTTCTTTTGCTTGAGGTAATTTCTTAAAATCTTTTATGTTGTTTGTCTGATTGCACTTCAAATAATTGGAAAAGGTAGGTGATATGTAAGCGATAGAAGTACTGCCCTGCTTTGGAATCAGTTAGAAATCATAATGGATTAAAATAATAATGACCCAGTGACTCATTATTGTGCACTTACAGTAATAGGTTTGTTGATTGCAGCTAATACAAATCCAGTTTAGTCTCTTAACTAAAAATGAAAAGTAGCTAGTAATTTCTGGGGAAGTTTTAGTTTCCATTCTTCATACACCTACACTGTATGTCCTGAAAAATTAACCACACAAGTTAGAACCTATGTCAACAAGTAGGGTAGAAGGATATAGAAAAGAGAAATCACTCAGAAATAATGTAGAGATGCAGGTTAGAGATGTTGCCAGCTCTACTTACTGCAACAAAAACACTGTAAAAAGGTGCATTCTTGCCAAGAAGCCTAATTTGTCTGTTAAAAGTCTTTGAGGGCTACAGCTGGTGTTATCAAGACTTCTGGATTTTAATTGTTTGGCATAAGTTTAAAAGGAAGATTAAATATAATTATCGGTAAGGAAAGGAAATGGAAATTAAATATTCTGATGCTGTTTTGCTGTGTTTATACTTGGAGAGAGAGCACAATACCCGTGAAATATTAACCATCTTTTAATCAGACTGCATATTAGTGTAGTTCAACAGAACTAATTGGTTGTCATTCATTGTCTTCTGTGTTTTGATGCAACAGGTTGCTTTTTATATTTCATTTCATTACCTTAATAAACTTCATATGGATAATACATTTTGTCTGGTATTTGACTCATGTAACCATTGTATACTAACTAATTGTGTCAAGGTAAGGCTAATTCACTTTGGGAAAAGAGCTTAATTTGCACTCCTTAAGTTGAATGTACATTATCTTTAGTTTTCAGCTAAACAACCACTTTAGTGTCTAATAAATTGTGCCAAATAAATGCATCATAAATCTATCATTGTAAATAGCTATCCTCATGACAGTGTCCATCCAGCAATTGTGGCACAAAAGCATTATCTGCTATGAAAGACACATTCAAAAGGAGCTCTATAGCCTCTGTCAATAGTAGAAGGTGGAAATTCTATTATCAGTGTATTGATTCCAGTCCTGTAATGTGCTTTTAGATCCCATTAAACTACTGTCAAAGTGCATTCACCAGAAGTTGAAAAAGGTACTTAATAATTTGCACATTAGACCTGCTAATTAGGGGAGCTCTGCCATCAACCTTATCTTCCAGCACCAAATAGCTTTAGCTTTTGATAAAGAACTATCTAATGCAGTGATAGCCTAGATTTCAACAGTTGGTTCTGCTGCAGAAAATGGTGGCCACTAAAACAGCCTCCAAACAATGTCAGCCTATAGTTACAGGTGCCTTCAAGTAGCTGTGTATATTGATTTTAGTTTTCCTTTTATCTCGTAGATTAGATGGTGATAAAATTATTCTAAAATGCTTATAAGTGTACAGTTACTGAGCTGGAGACAGTACCTCCTTTTTTCAGACCTTACCAGTGAGGAAGGTGTTTTGTGGCTGTCCAGGGGGAGAGAGGAAGATTCAAATATTGATTCTTCTTCCTTCAAAAGTGGCAGGTTCTGTACTACAGTGAGTTGCCTCAAGCATTGATTCTTGAGATTACATGGATCAGAACAGTTGAAATTATCAGAATACTCCATAAATAAAGTTTAAAAGCACAAATCCACAGGAAAGCACTATAACATCCATGACAGCAGTTTCTGTGAAATCCATACAGTAGGGAAAGTTGATGGTGAGACGCCTTCTTTGGCTTTTTAAACAGATGTGTATGCCATTGTTGTTAGTTAAAATGTGTTGACACACTGAAGGAGAGTTCTTTGCCTTTAAATTTCCCTGAGAGAAAATTTTGAAGCCTTGAAAATAATTCTGAAAGTTTCTGTCTTGGCAACATCTTTACTAGGATACAGTGGATTAGATGAATGATTTGTGAGATTTCTCAGATGAAAAATACTGAAGTTGAAGCTGATCCTTCTCAGGCTGATTTATAACACTTAAAGCAAATGCGTTCTTAGGTGTTCAGGTGCAATCTCCTACCTAGAACTCCTGCCTGAACATCTGGAAGACAGATGGGAGGGAAAGAAAGAAAAATCAACCCATTTTCAGAATGGGGAAAAACTGTAGGGGTGATGTGAAAAAAAAATGGTCGCAGTCCAGGAGAAAAGATAAAATATTTTCATCTCTTCTAAAAACAAACTTATAGGAATTCTTGACTATTTTAAGAGTGCTTTTTGAAATTGCACTGGGAAGTCTGTGATTCTGTGAAGAGATAGAATCTTCATAGATTATATCTTCACACAAAAAAAGGATGCCTAGATGACAGGTACCTTATTCTTTCCTAAAATATTTCCCACTTTACCCTCTAAATATTCCTTTTCTACATTAGTTTGGGAAGCACCTGCCACTGCCAGATCTGTGTGAACAGGAACTGGCGTTAAGTTTGTCTATCAATAGAGACTTGCCATTTTCTGCCTGTAATCACATTACAAATCGATTTTGTGTGACAGATGATTACCAGTAAGCCAGAAGATAGCGCCCCTGAATTCTGCTTGACAAATATGTTATCGACTGTCTTCCTGATTTTTGTTGTGTTTATTTCATTATTATGCTAATGTTCAAAACAGTAAATACAGTTACTCAAAATTATAGTCTGAACTCTTCATTTGAACTGCAGACATTCATAAAATAGTTACTTTTTTTTTTACAAACTGTGATTGTTTTCTTAAGAATGTAAATATAAGTTGATTTAATTTATTTATTTTTTTATTTATTATTTACCTGCAGAAACATAAAATAGGATTTGTAGCCAAGAAAACCCTAAGTGCATGCAAGTATGGTCCCAAGTGTATCTAACCTTCAGTCAGAGGCCTAATTCAGTACTTCTGTCCACAGTACTAAAAACTGCAAAGCACCTTTTCTTGCAGATTTTTAAAAATAGGACTTTTATATTCCAGGTTTGTATTTCCCCTTGCCTGAATAATCTGAGTACTTATCTAAATAATATGCATGATTTCACTGCTTTTAAAATATGTGATTTCGATAATGAACCAAGTATAAACAAACAAAAAATCATTTTAACTTGGATCTACAAAATAGAAAATAAGGTGATGACGTAAGTCTGCACGTCTTGGGCAGTTTCTAGTGTTGCCAGTTCTAACCTGTGTTGTTATCTTGCACCATCTAGTGGCGAAATGGGATGAATAAAAATCTAAGTTGATAAATCTTTAAACATGCAATAAATTATTGTCTTTTTTTTGAAAAGGAACTCTTACAGTCATTCCTGACGTTTAAAATTAAGTGGGAATTCTACAATAGTTCCTTTAAAATGCCATGGAAGCGGGTAAAAAATGAATGGCATCAACATTTACCACTACCGTGTGTTACTATTTTCTGCCTTCTCTTTTACATCCTTCTTAGCTTTTGTGGCATAATATATGTATTATTCCTGCTGCATTACTCCTTTTGTTTCAGACTGTGTTGATACTTTGACATAATGGTGATAAAATTAATCTCACACTGACAAAATCTGAAAGGGGCAGTTAGATTACTGGAAAACCCCAGAAGAGGGTTTAGGTGTAGTCAGTACTACCTGCATATATACATAGTGTAGTATTGAGGAATTTTTTTTTACTGTAGATGGAACAAAAGCAAGAAGCTTGCAGCTGAAGGATTAAAGTGGAAAGTAAGATATATTTTAACACCCATTGTAATTCAGGTTGTTCTAGCTTATCAAGGAAACTGATAAATACTCTTGACATACGGAGTCTTTACACCAGGATTGCCTGTCTCTAAAATATGGGCTCTAGCTCATCTATGGATTTATCAAGTTAGGAATCTCTAGACAGAATCCTCTGACCTGTGTTATCTGGGAGGTCAGATTCACAGATCTTAATGTTCTTCTTTGGTCTTAAAAAGCTATGAATCAAGTGAAAATGTGAATGCTCAAAAGCACTGTGATTTATTTTTATTTTATCTTGCCATTTTGCATAGTACTAGAACAGCTCACATAGTTAGTTAGCATGTTACAAGAGCAGCTATTCACATTTTATTCTCTGTGCTCTAAAGATGTGGTTGTTACCACAGACAGAAGTGCACTGTTGTTTAAAAAAAAAAATAAATAAAAATTGATGACTCCAGAGTGTAAAAACACAAATTGTTTTTGGAAGGGTTCTGAAGATGACAGTATCGCAGCTTTTCAGGTCTTTAATCCTCCTCTTAGTACTCTAATAATCCCTTCCATTTGGGCTGCTACTCAACAGAAGTTAAGTTGTAAAGAGTAGAATATCTAACGGTCTCTAGTGTTTTAACAGCAACCACCTTTGAGCCTGGTGTATATCTTAATGCAATTTACAGTGTATTTAGTTTGTTTTTTTTCTTTTCATTAAGAATTCTTCCATGCTGAGGTGTCTTGGTATACTTAAAGAATAAGTTAACCTGAGTAGAAAAACACAGTTCAGGTTTGATTTTTTTGTTTGCTCTTTTTACTTCTGCTGAAGGTGTTGAGCACATGCAACCTGGATTTTCAACAGCAAGAATTGCGAATGCTTATAATTCTGTAAATTAGGCTTGTATTAGAATTGGACATTGCTTTTACTGTAATGTGATCCTGCAGAATTCACGATCATCAGTCAAGCCTAGTCTGTCAAACATAGCTTTCTGAATCCAACCGGAAAGACAGCGCTCTCTGTGAGCTCTGTGCTTACACAGACTACTCTCTCTTCCAGGGCACTGGCTACCATCAGTGAAGCTAGGGGTAAGCTTGCCAAGGGGGAGATTTTCACCTCAGCTTCTGTTTGACTTGCAGTGGAAAATTTAGTATTACACGCTGTCTCCTCTGAAAGAGCTCTGACTTTGCCGAATCCATTTCCTGGTAATAAACCACAAGGCCATGTGATCACCTGCACTAGCAGCTGGAGGTTTAGATCTAGAAACTGGTTGCTGTGGAATGTGGTCTTAGGAGTAAACAGAAAACCCCGTACCTTTATAAGTTGTCATAATGTTGCATCTTATTTTTAGGTGAATATTCTTGAGTATATTCTAGTGAACTTCAGACACATAAATCACTTATTGGAATGTTTTGCAGTTCAACTTTATGGTTATAGCGCACAGAATTAAAGTTTTACTAAGATGATGAAAATTGTTATGTTTATAGGTGATTGAGCTGAAGCCAGGTGGAAAAGATATTCCTGTTACCAGCGCCAACCGAATCGCGTACATCCATCTGGTGGCAGACTACAGGCTAAACAAACAAATTCGACAGCATTGCCTTGCTTTCCGTCAGGGACTGGCCAATGTTGTGAATCTTGAATGGCTTCGAATGTTTGATCAACAGGAAATACAGGTACTCCGCTTAAAACGGCAGAAAACAATTGATTTAAACAGAGATAAATGCCAACTTTTTGTCTGTAATGTAATTAACTTCCTTCATTATTAGGTTCTGACTTCTGGTGCCCAGGTTCCTATTAGTTTGGATGACCTTAAATCTTTCACAAACTATTCAGGTAAGCATATTTTTTACTTAAATAAAAAAAAGTATTATAATAACTGGGGAGTAAATAAACTTGCTTTTTATCCTAGCTTTTTAAAAAAATTGCAGGGGCATTCTTGTTAACTTTGCCCAAACTCTCTAGACAGGCCTGAAGCTCAGAAGATTGAGTGAAATTATAATTACAACCTAGTTTTGTAAATGTTGAAAACTATAGGCATGCAGTGTATTTATTCAGACACTTAAACACAAGTCTGTAGCTATATAATTAGAGGATATGTAATTCCTTTTCTAAATAGATGTTAGTCAATGGTTGTGTCTGGTTCCTATGAAAATAAGTCTGCAAATGACTTTGGGATAGTTGTTTCTACAACTGCATTCAGATACTTATGATTTCTTACTCAGCCTGAAGAGAGAGCTCATATTTTTCCCTTGTGAGAAATGCAAGGTACCTTGCTTCATTTTTCCCCTGCATTTATCATGAATGTAATCAAAAAGTTGCTACTATATAATTAGTTCATATCCAGCCTTACCTCAAGGTAAACTGATTCATTAAACAACGTCCCGAGTTTTGCATATTTTGCAGGTCTTGGTAAAAGTAAAAGGCAGTAATCCAAGGTTACTAGGTAAATGCTAAACTAAATGAAATTAATTTAAAACAAACAAATAGGATTCAGTGAAGAAGACTGGAGTGAAGAAGCTGAGGGAGATAGTAGCCATAGGTAACCAATGAATGAGAAACTCAAAATGCAGTGATTAAAAAGATCTGTAGATACTGGTAGTCAGCAGTGTAAGCCTGCTGGTTATAGTATTTTCATAGAATCATAGAATAGTTAGGGTTGGAAAGGACCTTAAGATCATCTAGTTCCAACCCCCCTGCCATTTTCCCCAAGCTTTTCAAGATAGATACTAGTTTTCTGGAGGATTTATTTCTTACATATAATTATTCTACCTTTAAATAATTTAAATCTCATTATAGGTGGCTACACAGCAGACCATCCTGTAATTAAAATATTCTGGAGAGTTGTAGAAAGTTTCACTGATGAGGAGAAACGCAAACTACTCAAGTTTGTAACAAGCTGCTCTCGACCGCCTCTTCTAGGGTTTAAGGTATATGTCTTCCTGACTTCCTGGAAGGTTTCTGTAAATATGATTATGATACAAGCTTTTCATTTGAGAAGATTGTTCCCCTGTGACTACAGAAACAGCTTCACTGTTTGCATTTGTGTGTATAATGAGTATATTTTTAAAATAGTTAATGAAATGTTGTTCTGTTGATTTCTGTTTTAACCGCAAAATTTGGTAAGCCTACAAACACACTGGTTAGAGCAATTGCTCATTGTCATGGATGATCCTTGCTGCCATTTCATGTCACTGTGCAGAAGCAGATTGCTACCGGTTTCAAGGAGCAGGTTGAGTTAAAAACAATGTCTTTTAAATCAGGCAAAAGAGATTTAGGTTATAAAAGCAACTATTAAATTTGAACCTCTTAAATTAACCATTTGAAGCAGGAAATATGGTTCCTTCTAATTGCCATTTACCCTTTGTATCTAAATATTTAGCTGCTATCTTTAGATTACTATTTACAGTGAAGCTTAAGTATGAAGAGAACTTTTGTCTACTGGTTCTAAAACTAAAGAGAGGCCGAGGCAAGTTGAAGACCTTTTGCAACTAAATTCTGGGCGTATTCTGCCCATGAGTTTCAGCTGGGCTGGAAAAATGCTAAGAACCAGCTATGGATTTTATTTCCTCTAAAATGTGAGAACATTGAGTGCTTTTTTGTAAGAAAATAAAAGAATAAATTATTTCATAGCAACACTTGCACCTTCAGCACAGTGATCAGCAGCATGCTTACTATTGTATTATTTAGTAAAAATAATACAAAGTGACCTTATGTGGAACAAATATGGGCATTGCATCATCCAGTTCCTTACAAGAGTAAGATTTGCTGCTAATCAAGATTTGAGTACATGTACTTAGTAAATGATCATATTATAAGGTACTGTGGTACAATAATTCGAGGTGAATAGTAACTAATTTTCTGTATTTATTATGTAAAATAGGTAGATAGAATCATAGAATCATAGAATAGTTAGGGTTGGAAAGGACCTTAAGATCATCTAGTTCCAACCCCCCTGCCATGGGCAGGGACACCTCACACTAAACCATCTCACCAAAGGCTCTGTCCAGCCTTGCCTTCAACACCACCAGGGATGGAGCAGTCACAACTTCCTGGGCAACCCATTCCAGTGCCTCACCACCCTAACAGTATAAAGAACTTCTTCCTTATATCCAGTCTAAACTTCCCCTGTTTAAGTTTTAACCCGTTACCCCTTGTCCTGTCACTACAGTCCCTAATGAAGTGTCCCTTTCAGCATCCCTATAGGCCTCCTTCAGATACTGGAAGGCTGTTGTGAGGTCTCCACGCAGCCTTCTCTTCTCCAGGCTGAAAAGCCCCAAGTTTCTCAGCCTATCTTCATATGGGAGGTGCTCCAGTCCCCTGATCATCCTCGTGGCCCTCCTCTGGACTTGTTCCAACAGTTTCATGTCCTTTTTATGTTGAGGACACCAGAACTGCACACAATGCTCCAAGTGAGGTCTCATGAGAGCAGAGTAGAGGGGCAGGATCACCTCCTCGGACCTGCTGGTCACACTCCTTTTGATGCAGCCCAGGATATGGTTGGGTTTCTGGACTGTGAGCGCACACTGAAGCCAGCTCATGTTCATTTTCTCATTGACCAACACCCCCACGTCCGTCTTTGCAGGGCTGCTGTGAATCTCTTCTTTGCCCAACCTGTAAAAATGAATGCAGGTATTGTGCAAGTCCTGCATATGATCATTTAAACCTCCATTTGGTACAGTTGTTCTGTAACGCTATGTGCAGTCTCACTCTCCGCATAATCCCTTCAGCTGCTGTAGTAAGTGCTGTGTGGTGCTGTTAGCATGTGGATAGGCAGCATATCCTCCATCTTCAGTATCTATAATCTGTAGCTCATCTTGCATTCCTTTTATAGGCCCAGAGGAGAGGAATTGACACTTTCAGTCAGTAATTTGTCTGACTGTTCCACGTGTCTACTTCAGGGTGAAATGAATCATGCCTTAGACTCCACAAAACATACGAACTAGATCCCTTTTAACAGTAAAGAGTGTCCAGGGTGACTAGATTTGGATATAGTGACAACACAGATGGCTGTTCAATCACATGAATCCTATCTAGGATATTTATTTATTGATTTCCGTGATTGATTATTTAAAAGCCTGCAAGCATTTCTCTTAAACTCTCCAAATCCATGTGAATATTCCTGTGCAGTACTCTAGCAACAAACAGGATTTTATAGGACAGTGGGAAGAACAATTAGGAAACTGGGGGATGAGAACAAGATAGAATAGTGTGCATCAGTCATATAATGAAGGGAGAACTGGGAACTATTGTGTGGATACAAAGCAAACAGAAATCTCCATTTGTTGTCATCCTTTTTAATTACAAGGAGAGAGGAAGAAATGCAGATGTAGCTACCCAGCTTTGAGGTCCCCAGCATGACATTTGACGAGATGGAGGAAGTGAATCAAAAGTCTAAAAATACTGAGGCTGACAGTGACACATTAGAAAAAAGCCAAATGTGGAAAGCTGAAGTTTGTGTATATACTTGGGAGATAGGCCACAACCTGACTTTAACATACTTGGCTAGGAAGAACTGGAAGTAAAATAGTCATCAAATGATAGCAATAAAAGATTAATTCACTATACAAAGGACTTACGAGCTCAGCTGCATGCAAGAAAGAGTCTTGGCAACAGAAAGCAGTGATAAGGCATTACTGCTGCCTTTCTGGGCAGCGCTGAGTGGGAGTTATGTCAGTACTTGCACAGTGTTTGCAGTAGTGTCCTGTTAACATGGATTTACCAGCAAACAAGGGATTTTCTAGGAAATGCTTGTCAGAACAGGAAGTGGGTAACTGGTATTGTCATCAGCAGTAATGTCTCGGTAGCCTGCGACAGTGTGTTGTTTAGAGCTTTGAAGATGAAGAGTGCAAAGCTGCAGGAATACTGAATATTACCAGCCAAGTAACTGCCTGAATATATTTAAGTTGGTAGATATTAACACAAGCTATCTTCAAAATTTGTTTACAGTTTTAATAGGTGTACTGTATTTTTCTGAGAAGAACACAGTTTCTGGTTCTCCTCTGAAATCTTCTATATGCTTTATAATGTGGAACCATCTTGTTTTCTTAAAGTTGGTGCATCTTAATTTAAGAGAATGTCTTGACGTTGATAGCTTATAGATAGCATGTTCTAGCTTTGCATCTTTAAAAAATTTCAACTTTCACTGCCAGCTTCAGACTCAGAATAACATTTACTAAAGCTAATTAAAGTTTAATAAGTTTAATAAATGTGATTGTTACGGACAAAAGAAATCATTAAAGCATGGTTGAAAATTGTTAAGTTCCAATCAGGTCACATAATAAATTGATGATACTTTTCACTTCCAAACTATTGCAGTTTCCCGCTGTACAGTATTTAATTATGCAACAAATGGTGCCCTTGGCATGACATTTCAATTTAGAACTTAATTTTTCCATTTTTAAAGCTAAAGTAGGGGAATTCAATTAGCATTTTGAAAGGAACACTAAAAATACAGCATTGAACCATGAAATACTTATAAGAACCATGAAATACTTTTAAGGCCTCCATTTGAACAATAATTTAGCTTAGAGTCACATTGACCTTTTGCCTTTGGAGCTAGGATTTTTTTTCCAGTTTCTAAAATCAGAACGGTTTTATGTCAGGCAAGCATTTGATAAAATTAATACTTTCTTGCCAGCAAAAAAAACTGCTTTAGAGGTAACATAAAATGCGTTTTTCCTTATACTCTTTCTCAGAAGAAAAAGATCAGATATTATTATTAAAACAATTACATTTTGCATACAAGATGTCTTCAAAGTCTGTTCCTCAGATCAATAATTTTCACATTAGAAGAATAAGTGAGGTTTGACAAGTTTGTATCATTATAGACTCACTATGCCCATCAATATCATCCCAGTAACAGCTGAGTGACTTTCTAATCTCTCTGCAAAGAAACACTGAGTATAATTACTTTAAATAAAGTTAGGTTTGTATTTGGAGAATACAAAGTACCTATTGATTCAGAATTCTAGACCATGGTAGTATAAATACTTGCATAATCTTACACACAGAATCATAGAATGAATAGGGTTGGAAAAGACCTTAAGGTCATATAGTTCCACCCCCCCTGCCATGGGCGGGGATGCCTAACACTCGACCATGTCATACTGTTCATCTTGAAATTCATAAGCTTGCTGGAAGATTAGTTTAGACAGAACCCCTTAGAGCAAGGAATGTCGTTAGCATTGAATCAGATGATTGATTTTAACAAAGAAAATACCATTTTATATTGTGGGGAGTAGAAGGAAATGATAGCTTGATACTCATCCACTTGAAGAATGTATCTTATACATTTTTTTGTGTAGTCAGGATGAAAAGTACAATTCTCAGAAGAAGCTGTGTCATTATACAATGACAAATATTATACATCATTCAAACATGACAGAACATCCTTTCCTATTTACCTCCATTACTGCTAGCAGCCCGTTCTCTGTGTTCAGCATGTATTTCACTGTCAGAAAACTTCAGGGTAGCAGGAACCCATCATTTTCCTGCTCCTGAAGAATCAACAGTATCCATGGGCATTTGGGAGGCTTTGTAAGGTGAGCCTGAATTTGTGAATCTCAGTTGTTTCTCCCAAATACGACAAAAACAACAAAAAATTCCTTGAGTGTTGCTGTATTACTTTTCCATTTTGTGTTTCACTGGTTTTGTAGCATCATAAACTTGCAGAATAGTGTATGAACAACAACAATATTTTTTTTTCTGGGAACCAAATAAATTGCTTTGTCTTCTGCAAATTAATGGATCTTGGTGGGGACAAGGTGGAAGGAGGCACTGCACAATTCAAGAGTGCTTTTGGAGCCACCAGGAATGAGGGAAAATGCCATTTGAGTATGTCATTGTGACAGGTTTTAATGTAATGATTTATTTCCTAGAAGTCTGTGCCAGCTGTTAGGGGGTAGGCTTTAGTTTGTATGTGGGTTTTGATATGTTTTTTTTCTGTTGCATTTTTCAGGAGTTATACCCCGCATTTTGCATTCACAATGGAGGATCTGATTTAGACAGGCTACCTACTGCCAGTACCTGCATGAACTTGCTGAAGCTTCCTGAGTTTTATGATGAAAATCTGATGCGAAGCAAACTCCTTTATGCCATTGAATGTGCTGCTGGATTTGAATTAAGCTGAGTCGAACTGATGCTGATTTGGATGATCTGCAGAGGAACTAACCAGTGCCTACTCTTAAGCAGCACCCATACCCCAGCAGTTTTAAGGGAATTCTGTCTAGATTTCTGCAGCTCTTGTGTCTTATCAAATGCCCTCAAATAAGTTTCATTTTTAAACACAATTTCTTAGTTAGCTTTCATTAATTAATATTACATTGACACTGCTTTATGATTCAGAACAGTGAATGCTGTGTGCAGTGTGGCTGTTTTCTGTGTTACGCGACGAAAGAGCACATTTAAAGAACCGTGACATCTCGGTGAAATTAACCAAAGATGAAGCTTTGGCTTTGTGCTGTTCAAACAGATAATTTCACAAACTGGCAATAAAGTTGTGTACCATGCAGCACATTGGGATGAGACATCCTGTAATTAATCTTTTAGATGGAAGTGAAGCAGATGTTTGCAGATACCCCAGAACTGAGAGGATGGAAATGCTCATTACCAATAACCTAACATCTTACATTGTAGAATTGTTTACAAATCATAGTTGTTGCAGAACTCATGTTTTATACTACCTGTTGTGGTTTAAGTCCAGCTGGTAACTCAGCATCACGCAGCTGTTTGCTCACACCCCCTGCCTCCTTCCTCCTTTCCCCCCCGCTCTGGGTGAGATGGGGAGGAGAACTGAAAGAATTTAAACCCCACAGGTTGAACAGTCCAATAACTAAAGTATAATATGAAACTACTACTACTACTACTAATGATAAGGTGAATAACAAGAGGAGAGAATATAAAACTAAAAGGGTAAAGGAAAATAACAATAAACACAAGTGGTGCACAGTACAATTGCTCACCACCTGCTGACCAATATCCAGCCTGACCTGAGCAACGATCTGGGCCTTCAGGTGACTCCCTCCCCCTGTTTACATCCTGGGCATGACGTGGTATGGTATGGAATACCCCTTTGGCTGTTTGGGTCAGGTGTCCTGTCTCTGCTTCCTCCTGGTTCCTCACTGGCAGAGTGTGAGACTGAAAAGTCCTTGATCAGGGTAAGTGCTACTGAGCAACAACTGTAACAGTGGTGTGTTACCAGCATTGTTCTTAGACTGAAGTCAAAACACAGCACTGCACCAGCTACTAGGAAGGAGAAAAATAACTGTTACAGCTGAACCCAGGACACAACCTTCCCTCAAGATGGTAGGCACTGAGATAAAATGGTTGTAATACTCCATTTGTGCTTTCTGAAATACTTGGAGAAATCTGATTTGCGTTAAGTTCAACCTTGGCTGCATCATTACCACTTGAACACTGTTGTGAGTGGATGTGACTATCCATATTTTCTTTGTCCTGTTTCTGTCTTTTGTGCCTGTACAGGTTTTTTGTTTTCTTTTTAAATGTATGAGACTCCTGTTGCATACACAGTACGTACAGAAGCCATCACTTTGGAAAAGTACACATGTAACAACTATTAAAATTATTTGAACCAAAGTTATCAGGCTTTATCTTTTATATTTGAAGCCTGTGGTATTCACATTCCTTTTCCCTGTCATTTCTTTCCATCTTGAAATGCCGTATCTGTGCTGTGGACACTAGTCAAACTCATTATTTTTTTGGTGATGAAACAGCTTTTCTATCCATCTGCCTGCGGTTTTTCTGCTAAGAAAAGTAGGTGGGAATATGCTGCTTAATATAATTTCGTATCTGGGAAAAAAAAATGCTTTCACATGGAAGGAACTGATCCTCTGGTGGTAGTAGTAGGCACATTGTTGGGTGTTCGTATGCAAACCGCAGTCCATTTAAAGAAAGGAATTATAGTTCAGACTGTAAGATCCGTAAGTGCATCCCCGTGAACTTTAGTTTTTTAAATCATCAAAAATTACAATCAAATTTGTATTCATCTCTTATGCAAAAAAATATTTTGCTGTTACAGGAAACTGTTGGATTTCATATTTAATAATCAGTAACCAGCAATATCCTTTTAAATGTGGGAAAACTGAGTGATTTTAAGATGTTTACTAGTAACCATATAAAAATGTATAATTTCTTAATTTGGGTAATAAATGATGTGTTAAAATACTATTTGTAGTCTTGATGTACAGAAATAAAACAATTGGTTTTCTTTTTGGTTTTGCTTTAGGCTTTTTATTTATGTTAAATGTTACATACCCAGGTTATTCTTTATCCCAAAACTCTTTTCTTGTATATTTTTCTACAGAAACTATGGAACTTGTAAAGAAGTTGAAAAAGAGATTAGTAATAGTGGAACTGCCTCCTTGTAACTGTAAAACCTGAACACTTCCTTAGATAGCATTATTTATTTTAGAACCTAATGTGTTAAATATTTTGAAATTATTTTTCAATTCCATTATTTTGCTACATTGGGTAGTGGTGTATCTGTATTTTGTAAAATTGAAATGAAAATTTTCTATTAAATAGTTGTATTTTGAAGATTGTGTTGGAGTCATGCCAAGTGATCATGACTTGTATGCTTCCTGCTTCTGTGAAAGGAGACAGTGTGCACTATTCGTGTCTGGTACCACAATTGCAAGCTCAACAGAGAGGGTGGGCTGGGAGGAAGGGTGAGTTGCAGAGAGATGCAGTCATGTAATTGCAAGAACTTGCAATTACTACTGAAAAAAAAAAATCAGTAGAGAATTTGAGTTTGCTGGAAATACTCTTCCTGACTTTTTGTTTCTTCAGTATGTAGTACTCGGTGATACTGGTTTGCATATTCTGTACATTAAGTATGAAATCCTGACATGCTCAAGTCAGGGGGATTGTAGCCTAGATTTCCTTCTGCAGGTAGGTGGCTGAAAATGAAAGCTACAACAGCTTATACCACTGTGAGTACCCAGGCTGCAGTAAGAAGAGGGTAGGTCTCTCTGCTGGCAACAGCGGCTTTCAGTTGTGTCAGCTCTTTTCCTGTAGTCAGGATGAAACACGAGTCCCTGCTTTTCAGTGACCTATTGCTGGATATTTTAAGGAATGAGAGGTAAAAGTGTAAGAAATAATATAGCTGTAGTTACGGCCTGAGGAGCTAGGTAGTCTAAATGATCTCTTGCAGCAAGAATGATTTATATAGGAAAATGGATTTCCTCTTTTTTAAAAGAATGAACTCTCCCCCAGTTGTGATGCACCCAGAGTTCAGGTAGGCAGAAGCAGGAAGCACTTTGCATGCAAGTAACCTGAAATGCTATTGTAGATTTTGGTCATCAGAATTACAGGAGTAATAATAATGGGTTGTTTTTAGCACAAGATAACCCTTTCTGAAAGTCAGTCTCTGTATTTCAGTGTTTTGTCCTAGTTCAGTACTTTTGAAAAATGACAGCATTTTCTGGTTTTGTTTTCAAATAATTCTTGGTTTATAATTCTGCATCCTGTTCTAAAAACATTTTTGTCACCAGTTATCGTTATAATGGCAGAGGTCACAAATGCTTCATCTCTCTAAAGTGAAAAGGCATAAAAGCAGAATAAAACAAAATTAGGACTTGGTCTGTTTATCTTGGTGGGAATTTTTCTAGATGTGGGTTCAGTCCTACTAGCTGGGTTACAAAAACCAAACAGCACAAAACCCCAACAAAAAAACACAACAAATGAAAACAGAAATGTTTGGCCTTGTTCCTTATTCTCAGTTGTTTTCCATCATGGTGCTGAAAGCCAGACTTACAAACTTCACAAAACTCACTCATCTCTGGGCAGAATTCGTGTCTACAGCAGAGGAAAGGTTTGGCTCCAGTTTCATGCATAAACATTGAGCTGGCAGAAGCTGGATTTGAACAAGAAGGATGTATCTTCAGTTACTTTTGTGTGGGGTGCCACATAACTAAAAACCAATGAGCTCCCTGATGCTATCAGAAGCAGTGTGGACTGTCTTTTTGGCATCGCCTGAGAAATCTAGCACAAACATCCTAATCCAATCTACCAAGGGGTTTGGAATTCAAAAAGAACGCTTCAAGGAGTGAACTTGTGCTACATTTCAGTTTAACCCAAAACCTAGTTGTTAAATGCCAGTAAGACAGCACATAACTTTTCACCACTGAAAATAATACAGCACAGAAACAAGGTGAAAACGAGAGAGTTGTTTTTCTTGGAATGTTTTGTTGGACCTGTCTTTTTTTTGTATTTATAATTATATGCAAAAACTTTAAAACATTTGCTTATATACATGATTTTGTGTTAATAATGGTTTGTGATGTAAATGCTTGTTACTATTTTTTTTCATGATGCTTTGTCTGTTAGCAAAGGAGAGAAAAAATGAACATGGTCTGTAAAACTGATCAGGATGTCTATATTTTTATTGAATTCTGCTTTTGTGAATAAAATAATTTGAGTTTTCTTGAAACTCTGCAGAAACACTCTTTATTTCTTTGCAGTAAATGTGGTGTTCTCAGGCTAAAGACTGATAGTACTGAATAGGTTCTAAAAGGGAAGCTAGTACCAACTGTTCATTGGTCTTAAAGTTACTACTGCTGGAACAGGCTGCCCAGGGAAGTGGTTGAGTCACAGTCCCTGGAAGCATTCAAAAAACATGTACATGTGGCACTTAGGGACATGGTTTAGTGGTGGTCTTGGCACTGCTTGGTTAATGGTTGGACTCGATCTTACAACAGGTCTTTACCAACCTGAATGATTCTGTGGTTCTATGATTTTACTGCTCCAGGATGATTTTCAGCTTCAGGTTTTGAGATGTGAAGTTCCCATTCTGTCAAACTGCAACCAAAAGGTTTAGCTTTGTTTCAGTGTGTCCTTCAAACATATAACTAATATCACTGACATGCTTTGAGAAAACTATTTTTGCAAAGAACAAAACTTACTCCTTGTATAAAAATACAAGAAACTTTTAATTCAGAATGAAGAATGCTACTTTGTTAGCAAATACATGAAAAAAAAACCCATCTCTTTCAGCTTCTGAAATTTTAGCTCTATTTTAGCCCCTCTGAAGGTGTAATTTATTTTTTGTCTCCTTTGATGATTACGATCATCTGCATCTCTCTGCGCTTCTATTATTTTCATTGCTAAATACACAGTTCCACCATAGCATTTATGAAGTTAGTAATGTGCATGCTTACTCTGGAATACTTAAAAATAGCACCACATACCCTTCAGCTCACCTGCCACTAAAAATGTGGCAAGCTGAAAATTACAGAAAACTCCTCTTGTAGGACACTTCGTAATTCATACGATGAATAGAGCACGAATGCTCAGACATCTTGCCTGGTTTTCAGTATGTATCTGATAGTCTGGAAACCTCATAAAATTTCTGATGTGTGTAAAGAGATAACACAAGACAGGAAGTGATTATGAAGTTGTGCTAGTTGAATCCAGTTTAAAGAACACAGGAGTGTCTGGCGATCACCTACTCCAGCCCTTTTGCTCAAAGCAGGGTCATGTACAGCAGGTTGCTCAGGACTTTGCCCCATGGAGTTTTGAATGTCTCTGTGGATGGAAACTCCACAACTTCTCTGGACAACCTGCTCCACTTTTCAATTACCTTTACATTTTACCTAGAACATTGGTGCAAAAATCATAGGGCTAATGCTAAATGTTAAATCACCTACACATGTATTCAATTTTTCCACCACCAGCCATATCAAATACCTAGAAGTGGAATTTCTTGGACAAACTCCTATAATCTGGCTGTCTTCTACAAAAATTAGGTACCTCAGTGCTAGGTGCAATCAAGCAAAGCACCTTCAGACAGGCAAATAGGAGAAACATGGGAATTCTGACTGGCACCAACGGGACTGCTTGTACATAAGAGTATGGAGAGGTGTCCTGCAGGCTTGATTTCATGCCTCTGTCATGTCAAGGGATGAATTTTTCTTGTGTGACAGTTAAATCATTGCTACATTGCATTGCCAGAACAGTTGCTTTCCAGTCTGGGACTAAGTTCACCTGTCCACAGCTCTGTAGGAAACATACATTCCATTAATATATTGGTAAGAACAGCTTGCTTAAATGTCCTACTATATTTAAGATCATTGTTTTCTACATTCCCAGAGCAGATGTTAGCTCATTCTGTGTAACGTTTGACTGAAAAGTAGTTTTGCATAATTTCTATTTTACTCTCTGTTTATAGTTACACATAGCTCTTGATTGCTGAAGAAGGAAACAGGCATTCACCAGATGGTGTTATTTCAGATCATCTTGCTACTTCTGCTTACCCAAATGTTAGACCTATGAAAAGCATCTCTTTATCAGTTGCTGTGTGGTTTTGCTGTATGTTGTCAAACATAACTTTTCAAAGAAAGTGGTTCTTTCTAGCCCTTTTATCTTTAATTAGAGTAATTCTTGTCATTAATAATAATTCATCATCTTCACTATGAGGGTGGTGAGACACTGGAACAGGTTACCCAGAAAAGTTGAGGCTGCCTCATCCCTGGAAGTGTTCAAGGCCAGGCTGGACACAGGGGCTTTGGGCAACCTGGTCTAGTGGAAGGTGTCCCTGCCTATGGCAGGGGGGTTGGAACTAGGTGATGTTTAAGGTACCTTCCAACACAAACCATTCTGTGATTTTAGGATTACAGCTCTGCTTACTGCTTTTCTTTTTCCTCTCTGCTCTTTAAGGCAAATAGCAGCAGAGCTCAGAGTTCTGCAGAGATATTTTAGGTCTAATTAACTATTAGCTCTCTTTAGCTATTCATGAAAAGTAACATAGAACTAACTAATATTTGGCACTGGCATATGGGTAAGATAGCATATCCCTGGTCAAATGAATAGACAGAAATGCTGACTGAGCTGTCCTGGCAAGGAATAAGCATTTGCCATAAGCTGTGACATCTTCTGACTGCCCACCACAGTTCTTGGGTTGTTGCCTGCACACCTCAAATAATCAGTAGGATACATCTGATGCTTCAGGGGGAATTGGCAAAAACACCAGCTATGCAGAAATGTTTTAATCACTTTCAAAAACATCCCCTTGGCTCAAGCTTTTGGTTACAATGGGGAGTCCAGATAAACTTGCAGCCTTCTGGTTACCGACGGAGCACCTTACCAGTGAAAATCGAGGTTATACTCAGAAGAAAATCTATTGAGAATGCTAATGAAAATTGGTTATTTTGTGCTCCTAATGCATCTACTTAAAGTTTTAAACATTAGGTGTATTGCTCATATTTCAAGTCTAATTGTTTCTGATAAGCTATCAGCAAAAAGTTAATGCTTATATTTAATTAAGTGGCACTTTCCAGAATTACTTTGCCAGTAGTACTATAATTAAATGATGTGAGAACAGTCTTTGATACATATGCTCATATTCTTTGCTAATACCAAAAGTAGAATCTGTAAATAGAAATACTGGATGCATTAAGCAGTGGGCCAGAGCAGCAAGCCAGGAAGGCTGCAGCCATCACCACATCAGAGGGACCAATATTAATATCTCTCTAATGCAGCATTTTTAAGTATTTCTTGTGTTCTGATGGGCTTTTCATAATTGACCTCTGTAAGTCATAAAAAACTACTAAGAAAAAAAAAAAAGGATCTGGGAACTATGTGAATTGCTAATACCTCCTGGAATGCTGCCACATGATTTCCATCATTAGGTTATAGCTACCAGTTAGGCCTGAATTCATCTCACTTAACTTCAGCCATCTGTAAAGTGGCTGTCGAGGCACTTCCGATGAAAGAGAGGCAACCCAGAGACAGAGCTCCAGAGGGGGGATCTTTCTTTACTAAAATACATCTACAAAGCAGAAACTGTGCCCTGGAGGTGCCCCCTCCTTCTCTTTCTGTTCATAGTTGGAGGCCTTACACTAGATGCTTAACTTTTAGACAGCTGAAGTGAACCAGACCTTTCTGTCATGTTTCTGGGTGAGGACTGAAAATTCTTGAGCAATGAAGATGCTCTGATAACAGGGTTTATTCTGACTTGTGACTGGGCCCTTGGATGCCAGCCCAGGTCTGCCTGGATCTTTGATGCCAGCTTCAACAGATCCACTAGCTTTTGTTATTGGAATGTTGATCCCCTGCCAGCAACGTCACACTTAATGCTCCCTGACACAGTATTCCAGACTTCAGCTGCAAGCAGCTAGCCATAAAAACACAGAATGCTTTTACTTCATACTTTGCAAATACCTTTGAAGGCTTTCCGAATCTAAATCTTTTCTCTTTTATTAGTCCTATAAGTAGATCTAATTAAACATTTGATCTTCCTATGTTATCTCTTCCTATGAGTCTTGCCTAAAATCTTTCCCACAACATCACCTCTGGTGAGGAGGAAGGTGGCTCTGGCTCTTCACCTTACGCAGTTCTTTGTTTATCTGTGTTGATTTTTTTACACAGAGACTGCAAAGTCCTGTTGCCTGGAAAACACTGACATAAGCAGTTCTCACTTAAGGACTTCCAAACCTTTGTAAGACATCTAAATATGATTAATGCTAAAGTTTAAAAATTATTCTGATTGATATTCATTGAAATGAGCGTGACTGAACACAAATAACAAACCAAACTATGGGTCAGGAGAATTCTAATTAATTCTCGGGGAACTAGTTTGTCCTGTCCTCTGGGACTTGAACTATGTAACTTGAAGGAGAGAAAAGGGGGTAAAAGGATAGTTCAGCAGTACCTTGCTATGGTTATGAACATTTTTTATCAGAGTGTTGCAATTTAAAAGCAAAAGAATTGTAGACACAGTATCTCTTCTGAGCTTTGGGTGATCTGGGAGAAGCAGAGACTGCCTGGACATACACAGATTAGATGACATTAGCCTGGAAGGTCTTAGAGGCTGAGCTGACCTGCTGAAGATCTGAAGGGGTCAGAGGTGGGTGTGTAGCCTTGCTGGGCAAAGGCAGCAAGTGCACTGGGTAGAGCAGCATGAAAGTAGCATTTCCTTCGCTGCTTACCAGCAAGCAGCATTCTTCCCATCAGAAAACAAACAGAAGCAAGGAAAACAAGACCAGTTGACATTTTAGTCTACTACAAGTGGGGTCTCACAAGAGCAGAGTGGGGGAGAATCGCCTCCCTGGACCTGCTGCCCATGCTCCTCTTGTTGCAGCCCAGCATACTGTTAGCTTTCTGGACTGCAAGTAGACATTGCTGGGTCATGTTGAGCTTCACATACCGTATTTTCTCCAAGTGCAAAACTGATCTCTCAGCCTTTCCAAACCTTATTCCTATATATGAAGGGTGCCGTTTAGAGTCAGAACTGTGTTAGAAAATCTATGGGAAAATTAATGTAATGCTGTCACCTGTAGAACAACTGTGTTAAAGCAGCAGTTGTGATCATGCAGACAATGTTGTGATTTCAACCCTGTAATTCCACATGGAATTTCAACCCTGTAATTCCACATTCCACATGGAATTACACTCCTTTGCCACCGTTCTGCTTCTGTGGATAAATAAAAAATTTTATGGTTAGCATCCACCATATCATAAATTTAATATAAAATCTACTCGGTAAAGGAATTAAAGTAACTGCCTCATGTACCACTCCAAGCTTGTGTACTGCAGGTGAGGTTTTTCAAAGAGTGAGTGAAGACCTTTTATCCTTTGTTCTCACCTGTCATAACTCATGAAAGGGGAAAACTCTTTTATTGCCATATCAATAAATGTTTAAAGCATTAAATAAAATTTTTATAAGATCTCCTCCCAAATGACACAGTGCTAACCTGCAGTTTGCCTTTGCACCTGCCAGGCTAGGGGTCTCCTGACGTTTGCAATCACACCTTTTAGAAAGAGCCAGGCCAACCCACCAGTCATCTTTATTTATTCTTTCCCAAGTGAATCAACAACTTGGCCTTCACAGCTACTCGCTGACGAGAAACTAATAATGGTGCTCAGTGTCTCTTTGATCTAATTTTAAAGACTTGTTTCCATGACCGCTACTTAGCATCAAATCAAAACACCAAGCCTATACTTAGGGTTGTCCTACCTCTTGTCTTGCTCAGTTGTATTAGGTTTTCCTGTTATTCCAAGCTTGCTTTTTTCCATTTGAGCTGATCCCACCGACACATAAGCACCTCCAAAATGGTGAGTAGCCTTTCAATTTGTGGAGCACACATTTTAGGTGTGGAAACTATCTAGTTCTACCTTGGCTATCAGTAAATCAATGCCTTCTACAGCTTTTTAAATAAAGAACGAGAAACATATTTTTACAGCAAATTTAAATCATGGATAAAGTCCAAATTTTTAAAACAGACTAACTTGGCTGCTTATACTTTGCTCTCAGCCATGACAACTAAGAAAACCACATACTAAAGTATAACGCAAAGGAGGCTCAAATGTGTTCAAACAGCATCTGTACATGTGCCAGCTGGAAAACGCTGAATCTGGCCCAGAATAACCAGGCATGGGGGTTACTGGTTTTGAGAGCAAAATAAAGACACACATGGGGGAAGACCTTTTGGCTTTTAAGGAGCCAAACTCACCTATGCATAGACTGGTGTGGCCTGGAAGGGACCTTAAAGATCCCTGGAGCCTCCTCTTCTCCAGGCTGAACGAGCCCAGCTATCTCAGCCTCACAGGAGAGGTGCTCCATCCCCCGGAGCATCTCCGTGGCCTCCTTTGCACTCGCTGAAGCTGCCGCACGTCCCTGTTGCACTGCGGACCGCAGCTCTGCAGGCAGCGCTCCCTGCGACAGCCCTCCCGAACGCGTTCGCTGCAGGGACCGTCCGCTCCCCCCTCACCACCTCCACCTCCTCCTCCCGGCCCCTCCCGCCAGGCGCCAAGCCCCGCCCTCTGCCGAGCCGCCGGCCGCCGGCAGGGGGCGGTCTCTACTCGCGCGCGGCGGGAGGGGGAAGGCGATGGGAGAGCGGCACGCCGTTCGAGAAACTTCCGGAAGCAGCCTCTCGGAAGTGACGTTACGCGGTGACGGAGCTTCCTGTTTGCGGTCGCGAAGAGCTGCCGCAGTTGCCGTTGTCCGGCGCTGCTGGCGGGAGGGCGGCGGCAGCGCTTCGGTGGCACCGCGCGGGTGAGTGAAGGGCGTCGAGGCTTCTCCGAGCGCGCTTCGGCTCGCCCGGCCGTGAGAGGGGAAGGGGGAAGGGCAGCGGGGGGGGATAATGCTGCGTTCTGTGCCAGGCCTCGGGTCTTAGCAACAGTGTTGGTGGTAACGGGGCCTCCGGCGCGGCTTGGTGGGGGCCTGGCCCGGCGCCGCCGCCATGCTGTACCCTGGAGCACGGGCGGCGGAGGGTCCCCAGCGGGCACGGGCGTCTCTTCTGTCTCTGAGGTTTGTCCCCAGCCGTTCGGGAGCGGCATGGCGACGGGCCCTAGACGGCCTGGGAGAGGTTTGCGTATGGGGGGGCGGCGAGAAGCACCGGCGCTTGAGGGCGGGGAGGGAGGGAGCGAATCGCCCCCGTGCGCCGCTGCTGCCTGCGGCTCAGGCCGTAACGTGGAGCGGTGAGATGCAGTTCGGCCTTCCCGGGCCGTGCTATCCCAGGTCGGATTTGTCTCCGGGTGGCTGTAAGCAGAGAAGGTCCGTGGCGGGGGAAATAAAATCCGCGTTTCGATTTCTTTTCCTTCCAGTGGTTTCAGTTACAGAAAGGTGAGGGAGCGCCTTAGATCAGCGTTTGCTCTTGATCGTCTTGAATAGGCCTTTTAGCTAGAGTCCTTTCTTTTTTCTTTTTTTTTTTCTTTTTTTCTCGCGTGTATTGTTTTCACAGATTTGTAAACTAAACGGGCTTTTCTTTTTTCTCTGATAGAAGCAGTTTAATTAAATCCTATTCTGTGTTTATAGCTCAGAGCAGGGTCAGTAGTGAGGTTTGTTGTGGGTGAAGGCAGTACTGCTCGGGTGTTTTGAACTCACAGTTGTCAAGCTCCAAGCTGAGTTGAACATTAACGACAATGTTCTTCACCTGCCTGTGAAGAATTCGCAGGAGTTCTGAGAGGCTGGTGAGTTGGGAACTGAAGTTATTTATGACCGGTGTTCCTGACTGAAGCAGTATTTTAAGCTGTGCTGTGTTTTTACTGTCCGAGCTCTTTGTGGGCAGCTGAAAACCAGTGCTGCAGGCTTGAGCCATTCTCATGAAGGCATTAAGAAAGATTATTCAAAATACTGAGCAAATCTGTTTTGAGTTCTGATAAACTGCTCTTTTGGTTCTCATTTGTCACAGTAACATCATAGAAGCTAAATTTATAACAATGCTAATGTGCAAATGGTGAAGCTTGTGACATTGAATAGTCAGTCAGTGACCAAGCGCTGAGTTTTTAGGATATAAAGTGTCCAGAAGTGATAAGAACAAGGTGTTGAGACAGAGCGAACAGCTGGAATGAAACTGTGCTGTGTTCCTGCTTCTCTGAGGTTGCACTTATAGCTGCTTGCTCACCTTAATTTTTGTTTACTTTTTGGAGATCCTTGTACTTCTTAGGAGGGATTTTATGTTCAACTGGTGCTGAAGAGCCTGATAGTTAAAGTACCGTCTAGTTCACTGGATTATGTTGTCAGGGAAGTTTTGTTTGGACATTTGTGAGTAAATGTATTTACAGATCTTGTCCATGGTTACTTTTTTGTGGGTTTTTATTTTAAACAGCCAAAATGAGAACTAGAGCGCAATACTGAAACTGTTTTCCCCTTTTGGCTCTTGTGCTGCCTTTTCAGTGGAGAACAAGAGACTGTTTGAAACTGAAGTTAATGTAGAATTTAATTTTCTTAAATAATCCCGGATATTTGAGGATAATTTTAAATTACTCTTCTTACTGGCAGTATTATTTAAACTGCAGTGTTAATTTCTCTGTCCACAAACTGTAAAGTTCCCCCTCACTCTCCATAAGATTTGTCTTTTTTAGCACTTGTGCTTTCTGACTACAGCACATTCTTACCAAAACAGTTTTTCTCTCTGGTATTTTCTTTTGTCTTTCCTAGATTGATGCAGTTTACTGATTTATCTTGGCTGGACTTTGTGAGGAAGGATGCAAGGATTAATTTCTGTGTAACACAATTTTTAGTTGGAGAGATAATGTGTTTTGCTGTTTATTTTTTTAATAGACATATAAATTTCTCTACCTGCCGTATTCCTTCTTTCATCTGCTAGAAATTTTGGAATGTACATGGAGACAGGAAACAACTTATGGTAAATCACCACCTCAGTGACAGTGATACACAAATTCCTAATAGTGTTTGGACTGTACTGAGGAAAGAAGTACCCGTGGTTTTCTTTTGAACTATAAAACTTCTGGTCTCCTGCCTCTGTATATCTGCGCTTTGTGCAGTTAGGTCTATGAACTGAGGTTATGTGACATGAAGGTTATTACTGTGTTTTACTGTGAGTCCAGAGGCACTGGAGTTCTAGTCTGGAATTGACTGCAGTGTCACATTGGGTTGGTGGTAGAGTGCAGCCACCCGTGTTAGCATGTTCTGCTCTTGTGCTGCTGGCTGTAGAGGACAGTGTATCTTGGTCAGGCCAGTATACTGGAATTGGAGGCTTGAGCAGGCCATGTGTTTGTTACCATATAAATAGTGATATTTTGAATTTATTGCCTTAACTTTCAACTTAGTTGTATGAAGTTTAATGTTTTAGTTTTTTGCTCCCTAAGTAGGAAGTGCTCCATTTCTCTAATAGTACTTACGAAGAACCTTGTCAGCTGTGTCCTGAAAACATTTTCTGCCAACAGCTTTTCTTTTCTGTTGGCTTGTTTAAGGAAGGATTAGTGAGAAATTACTTAGCTTTGTCAAAAATTCTTATATCTTTTATATGAAAATGGTTTATTTCAAGATAGATTTATATTAAAACCGTAGTTAATTATATCACGAGGCTTAAGTTACATTTTTTTTGCTTTTGATGAAATACTTCATTTGAACAGGTGTTAGATTTTTAAGTTCAGACTTAATGAAAGCATTATCCTGCTTCTGTTCATTTAACTGTTAAGAATGAAATTCATATGCATGAATTATTTCTCTCTTACAGTTACGAGTTGTAGGTGTCATTTTTTCCTGTTTGTTCCAAATAAGTGCTGAAAACCCGTAGGTATTAGTAAGGACTCACCATTTAGTAAGGATTGTAAAGCTTATATTATAAGTCTAAAGCCACTCATAGCAGCATTGCAGCCACTTTTTGTTGAATTGTTGTTAATTCTGTTGATTAGAAGAAATTCTTTTCTGTTCTTAACATCTAATCTATGACAGCCTGTCATGGTTCTGAAAAAGTAGTTGGTGCTTGCTTTAGTGTAACATTTCTTCTTGCTGGTTGGCTT